CAAAAACTCCAACATGACACCCAGAAGCCAAAATCGCATCTCTCGCTAACTACTGACTGTCTTCGATATGCTAGAGGACATGCTGGCACAAGACTGACACAGCAGGGTTCGGCAGTTTACATTGAATATCCCTCCTTGATAACCAATGTATTTATACCTATTTAGCAGTGGTACTTACTTATATATACATATAAGAAACACTAAAAAAATAACCCTGATTATACGTATAGTAATTTAAAAGAAATTAAAAAAATTATAATACTCAAACAGAAGTAGAAGTAGGTGTAGAAATAGAAGTAAAAACAAATCTAGCTTGCTTTTCCTTCTGGTAGGTAAGTAATAAGTAACAAGTTAACAAACTCCCAGCTCCTACTCGAGTAGCCCCTTAGCTATGCTATGCTATACTATTTTATACTCCCAAGCAATAGTCCAATGCTCCTAGCTTTTTCTCTTCTTTTTTTTGGACAAAGAAAAGAATGCCGTGAACTCCATAGACTCCGTATAGAAGCCCTTTGCTGCACAGTACCTATACATAAATAAGAATGTACACCCAGCCTAAACCAGCCCGTCCTATGCCATCTACCATCTATCTATATATTATATAAACACCCTCCCTCCATCCATACCACAACCAATCCCATCCAAGCCAACCCAACCCAAGCCAACCTAACTTTTCAGCCCATACTCCCACACACCCAGTTCCCAGATTTTTTTTATAAAAAAAAAGAAAAAGACACCTCAAGCTCTTCAACCCCCTCAAAAACCCTAAGAAACCTCCCCCGGCAACTTCCAAGCCACCAAATCCTCCCTCATATCAAATTCATCCACTTCCCTTGGTCTAGCAAACGAAAATGAATGTCCAGGAATATGACCTAAACCTCTTCTTCCTCCTGTTCTTCCTCTCTCACTATTCACCATTCTTGATATTTCTTCTTCTCTTTCTCTTTCTCTCTCTCTCTCTGCCATATGAGAATGTGAATGGGAATTGGAACTCAAATTTGATTGGCCACTTACGCTACGTTCACCGCTGGAGTAGACTCCGCTGCGGGAGGAAGAGGATATAGCGCTGCGGGTTGTGTCGGTGCTTTTTTTGTAGCGATGGCTTTTTGCTGTATTTCCGCTTCCGTTTCCATTTCCACTCCCATTCACATTCATATTTATATTTATACCCCCACCCTTCCCACTCGAACTCGTAGCCGTAATATTAGATCTCTGACTCGCATCACTAGGAATTCTCCTATGTCTTCTTAAATCCTCGCCGCTGCCTCCACTAGCACTTAATTCATCTTGAACAATCCGTGGTGTATCTCGATGATAAGTATAATCCGAGGTTTGAGTTTCAGATGCATCGTGTTTCCAACCGTCGCCGCCGGCGAATATATCTTCGACGCATTCATCGGCTAGCATTTCGGCTGGGGAGGCGGTCCATGACGCCGCGAGTGCTCGTCGGTACATATCGTGGAGATCGGATTTGTCGGAGGATTTTTGGAGTTGTGGCATATCTTTTGATGTGTTAATTTTCTGGGTTCTCCTAAACCGCAAATCGTTGAAATGGAGGACGGGTAGGTATAGGTAGGATTCGATAGAATAATAGAAAGAAAAAAACACAAACTCACTCCCAACATCATCACCATCCCCATTTTCCCCCTTCATAATCCCCGCTATCCCCCCAAAAACAGGCGCACTCTTCAACGGAGGCGCTACAAAATTCCTCTCCCCCTCTATCTGTCTCATCGCAATCCCTATCTTCGCCGTACTATTAATCTTACTGTCTTGCATTAAATATCTCCTAACAACTCCATCTTCCCCCTCAACTTCACTCTCATCTACATATTCTGCCAAATTCAACGTGATATGTCCGAGAGTAACTCGTTCCCCTTTGGCGGAATTTCCCACGTTGTAATCTTGGATTACTTCGAAGTGCACGAGACATTCGGAGAGATGGTTATTCTTGTCGATGGTGAGTCGGATGGGTATTGTACGTGTGTAGTCCCAGGATACTTTGTGTTCTTTTATAGGGGATCGGGAGGTTTGTCCGGAGTGTTCGGCTGCGGTGGTGTTGGGGAGTGTCCATTTTATGTAGGCGGTTCCGCTGGTTAGGGGGACATTGTTGAGATCTATTAACTAGGGGTGTTTGTTAGATTGTGCGCAGAGGGAAGGATGTGAATGTGATGCGAATGCGCCAGTATAAAGGGGTAAAGGGGAACTTACTTTGAGTACTAAATCGAATTTTGGCTAGAGATATGATTAGTATTTGTATGTAAATCTTCTATTCATCCCTCAATTGATTTTATATCTGCAAGTTTTCAATCGCATATATTCAATCCTCATCCATCTATCTGTCATATTTCTAATCAAATCCAAAATAAATAAATCATACCTTTCTAGCCTTCGATACTAAACGGGGAATTCCAAACATATTAGTAAATATCCTTTAATCATGAGAAGCATACAAACGCCCTAATAACCATCCATCCCCAAAGCGCAAAACCCCAAACTCCAAAACCCCAAACTCAAAAAAAACTCACCCAAAACATTCATACTCATCGAATCCAATTCTTCCAAGATAGGAAGTCGCACCAAATTCAAAGGTAACAAGCGATGTCTTCTCCTCGGAGGCTGATGATAACTATTTATCAGAATGGAATCTTTGGCAAGCAGAAACCCGAGGCTGAAATGACGCCGTGGTTCTAAAGCTCGGGCTTGGTGAGTAAGGTTATTATTATTATGATGAGGGTGATTAATCGTGGTAGTAACAGTAGTAGTATGAAGTGCCATTTTTGGTGAACCCTTTTTTTCCCTTTTTCTTTATTAACTGTGTTACTACTGGACCTGGACTGGCGAATTGATTCAATGGATTGGATGGGGTTTGTTTAATTAGTTATGAGATGGTAATGTAATAAAGATGTCAAATGGTCAAATGGTTAAATTATTAATATATTTAAAAGGAGTAGAAGGGGGTTTTATGATACATTGAGTGTATTGTATTGTATGGATGGATGTATATATGTTTGGATGGATGTATCATGATTCTAGATTCAAGATTCAGATACTTATTACTTCTTTACATACATACTTATTTACTTACTTGTAAGTGGATATCATAATTTATCTACTTACCTACCTACCTACATATAGATTATACATCCTCTAATCAATTCAACCCTTCAATTCGTTCATTCAATTCGTTCAATTCCTTCCAAATTCCATGTTGGTTGTTTGATTTGAATTGTAAAGTTACATTCTTATCATGAAATTGCATTTCGCTTTCGTCATTTTCCGTCTTAGTAAATGAAGTAGCCCGTCTCTCTTATCTCTTTTGGGAAGGAGTCAAACTTCATGCAGCTGAAAACAACTGGTGGAAAGAGGTAATTTCAAACTCCGAAGTCCTTTTCCGTGTGGTTTTGTTGGATTTTACCTGCAATCTGGATCCTTTGATGGAGTCTTGTGGGTGATTTCTGCAAGATGTAGGTACTGCAAGATGGTGGAGGTTGTGGGGTTATGGTGAGTTGTGAGATGTGAAATGTGAGGCCTAGGTAAGTACAGTTATTCGTTAGATGCGGAATAATAAATAAATAAATAAATAAATAAATAAATAAATGGAATTGTTATTCCGACCGAGTGCGGTGTATTGTAATAAACTAACCTTTGCTTCAATTTTGGTTTATCTTCTCAATAAGATTTATCATCATTCTCTTTCACTCTCATCCCGTTTTCCCGAAAACTATCCCGTTTCGCTTATCATCCTAGGAATGCTACTCTACTACAGTAATCTTACATCTAAGTAGCTAGATTGAGATATTCATATTTTTGAATCAACATCATCATCAACATCATCAACATCAAATCGGACAGCGGGAAGAAACAAATAGAGATAACATCACAAATATCGAATATATCCAATTGAAATCAACATGCTGTTCAAATCTACCCCGGGATTTTACCGCCCCTCCCCCAACCCCAAAATAATGCCGCATGTAACATACGCAATATCTCTACCATCTATCATCCATTCCTCCTTCATGCAGATGAATAAATACCCTCACCTCCTATTTATTTTCCCTCACTTATCCTCGGTTACTGATTTTTTGACTGGAGGCTAAGTCAGCATCCTGCCTTCGTTGACTTTATCCGACGCAACATTCTACTTTACCAGCAAGAAGATGAAGTAGATCCACATGAAGTTTGAATTCGTTTGAGGAATCATTTCAACCCAAGTAAAGACTGATATTTATGAATCTGCATCTTTCAATCTCCATACAACACCGAGATCTGGAATACCTTAAGAACTGATATTCTTCAAAAAAATCCATCAAAACCTATAATACCATTTACTATATAATTCGAAAAGAACTACAAGTACTGTGTATACCCAACCCTATCATTATACCAAACTTGAGTCTGGCAAATATTCCACCGCAATTCTTCCTGCCACACCACATGCAAATAAGATTCCAATCTAGAACTCTACGGAATACACAAGGATGAATCGCCCCGCACATTCTCTCGTATACGGTATACCGGTAGGTACATACTATGGACCATGGCATGGTACATACCTACCCCTCATAAACCACTAAATTGCAATTGAGAAACTTGACGAATGAATATAAATGCGTATTTTGATGGGGTCGTAGAATTTGATATCTGTACATTTACTCTTTACATAGATAGGTATGGAGTAGGTATTGTGAGATAGATGAAGATTCTAATTATGATGAAAGTTGTAAGCTAGATGCTAGATGCTAGATACACCAATAACTTTATACTGGTACTGGTATACTGGTGCACTTTTAGGTTACTTTATCTCCAAATGTCTACGGAGTAAAAAGTTGAGCTGGGAAGTTTGCAGTTATCTTATTTAATGAGAATGTTTGGTTTTGTTATCGGATTATATCTATATCCGCTGCTATATCTTTTCTTTTTTTTCTATTACTTGAATTGGAAGAAGATTTTATATATAGCGATCCTTCTAGCATAATAACAACGGAAAAGTTTTCGCTGTTTGATTGTCAGCTGTATAAGATTGTAACGACACGTTTGATTTCGTCTTTCCTCATTCATCAATTCTTATCATGTTTATACTGACAACAAAAAAGTTTTTGCTGTATGACTGTCACCTGTATAATCTTACAACGACACGCTCAATTCCGTTATTCCAAACATGTATTCTTATCATATCCAAATATATAATCAAAACACATCATCCAAACCTTCAACTCTAAAACCTCCTAGTAATTACCTATCTACATCTTCAAATTTCCATGTGTGCTATTTGGCTGTTTTAGATTTCGAAATTGGCAAATAGAAACCCGTCTTGTTAACTCCCTTAAATATTTACCTACCTTTGAATCCCATTCCATCTCATACCATACCATCACAGATCAATCAATCGGTTACCGCGGTAAAGTAACTTAGAGTAACTTAGTAAGCTCAACGTCCTATCTCTCCCAAAATTCAAAAGAGAAGTATAGAAGAACCTCTGTATGGAGAAGTGCGAAGAATAAGAAAAATATGCATATCTAATGGCATTACCCAGGATTGACAACTATATCTTCGTTGTCTTGTTTGTTAAGTTCATTAACTCTATCTTGTCTTTGCGATAGAGTATATTTCTATTAATTAGAATTTGAGAAGTTAGAATAGAGGATTTAGGTTTGGTTTTGTGATGTGGTGGCGTGGTTCCTGTTTTACTGTTGTCGGATTTTGAGTATGTGACGGGTTAATAGGTGGTCTTGAGGGATTGATGCTTTAATGAGTTCGACTGTGAGATAGGAGATGGATAATAATGATATTATAAATCCTTCCCTCAAAGCTCAATATAGATAATATTCTAGATATCCTATCCAAACACCATCGTATCCTTTTCTTCTCCTTTTTGAAGCCAAAATTGAACTTACAATCAATTATATATGCCCTAAACAACGCTAAATACACACATACAAACACAGAGAAGTTCAAAAGGACCTCGGGAAGTATGTAAAAATGAGTGCGAGAATTTAAGAGTATGAGAATGTGGTATAGAAGATAGATTCTCTTATTTATATTGTAGGACTAAAATTTTGAATAATTTACTTCACTACTTTATCTATCAGCAGATATAATTTAAGATGTATTATATTAAAAAAGAAAGTATGCAAAGAGTCTTACAGTTTCGGCAGATCTTCATTGATGATAATCATCATCACTTGTCTCTTTTATACTAATTATTTAATATTTGCATTCAATTATGAAATTTAATGATGGTTTAATTACTGTGTCAAAAACGAAGCTGTTAATTCTTATCTTTAATTAACTCAACAATATGATATTGAAATCCTTAATTATCTTTATTATTCTTTAAAGGAATTAGAATGTAGATTTTTGACTTGAAGATTGAGGATTGATCTTAGACTAATTATGGGGTACTTTTATAGTCCGCTGGGATATATTTCCTGATATCGTATGATGTATCAGGTATAAGGAATGAGTGATCTCATCATCCTACTTAAGGATGGTCAATATTAACATTCACATTATCTTCGTAAAGGAATCCATTCAATTATTCACCTACAACAATCCCTCCATCATTCACTCCCTAACATTCAAAGTGAACACACATAAACATGAACATATAAAAGTATCTTAAAACTCGAATATTGAAAAATCATATATAACGAACAACTTTCACGATTGCGCAACAATATGAAGGTATAGATGGTGAGGGGGGATTTTCCCTCTCAAAGAAAGATAGAGGGGTAGAAACGAGCAAGGTGAATATAAAATTATAAAGTTTCGAGATTCAATCGGTATTCGATGAGTATTCGGATTATATTTTGTATCGTCTTTTGGGAATTTAATATCAATATGTTTGATTTTTGTTATTATTCAGATGTTTCCACCACTAATTATATCTCAATATAATTAATATTAAAAATGAATCTAATCCTACAGCCATATCAGGAATAGTAACAGTGTATCTTACTCTCATCTTGTTCCTCAACTAGAATTCCTGTGACAAAGTCCAAGGTAGAATTTAAACACACGAGCTGGATCAGTACTTAAGATTAATTATCTCTACAAACCAAGAGGCACCTACTGTGTCCACATGGTCGATCTCTTATAGATTTTTTCCATCACTTACCCTTACATTTTCCGAGGTATTTATATATGAACTAGTATAAATTTACCTTTACCTCTTCTAGGAGTAAAAAAGGCTAACTAATTACCACTTACTTGAACATTTAACCATGTATAAATTTCTGATAAATATCGATCCGGTCAGGACACGAGTTTTAAAATTCAATATAGAGATGTTACGTCCAAAACGATTAGTATGTCACATGACCATAAAACATGTGATGGAACGGTGAGGAACGAACGTTCCTAGGAACAACCAGGAACGCTCGTTCCCAGGAACGACGATTCCTAGTTAACCATAGGCACGAAGGACTATATAATCAAGATGGATTTCTTTTGTATAGAGCTTCGTGCTCAAGATCAATCATTTAGTATACTCTACTATTAGTTACGAATTGCATATCATTATTGTCATTACTTCAAGTCCCTGCTTGACGCCTAGTTATAAACCTACTTCGAGAGCCTAGAGCACTTCCACGTGATCTAGACGGCAAACCTCGTAACAAGAGATACCTTGTTATATTTCCTGATCTAATAAAGCTCAGAAATACATCTATTCATTTATCGATCCATCCATTCGGGGCTTTTGTATTGTTATAAAAGTCTATTATTGATTCAAATAATACTGTGATTTTTGCTTTTATTTCCGTTATAGTCAGTGTGACGCCTCACACCTCCGGGTCACGTGGCATGCCCCGTTTGTATTTAATCATAGGAAAACTCTCTACTCTTGTTTTCCTTCTTCTTTTCTCCTTAGCTTAGTATTTTCTAATACAAGATACTTTACCCAGTATTCTTGAGTGTGACAGTCAGGATGATGGGAAATTTTTTAGTTTCTAATATAGTCAGAAAATCGATTATGATATATTAATAAAATCAAAATTGATATTTATTTTTGTTTTTATTTTTGGAGGTTTTTGATGTGATATAAGTTTTCGGTGATAATGATAATTATAATAATGATGGTAGGATAAATCTAATATCTTACTTTCCGACCACCTCTAATTCCGGTCACTTTTCTGTTACGAGGTTTGCCGTCTAGATCACGTGAAAGTGCTCTAGGCTCTCGAGGTGGTTTATAACTAGGCGTCAAGCAGGGACTTAAAGTAATGACAATAATGCAATTCGTAACTAATAGTAGAGTATACTAAATGATTGATCTTGAGCACGAAGCTCTATACAAAGGGAATCCATCTTGATTATATAGACCTTCATGCCTATGGCTAGTCAGGACCGCGCAGCGGTCCATAACGTGACTTAATCACGTTACCTTGGTTTAGTCATGTGACGCGGCGTAGAAGATAGCCGTCGTAACAATAAATCAATTTGTCTTAGAAAATAATTACTGATTATTTTTCAAAATAAATTAATCTAAATAATTAATTATATTATATACATTTTTAAAAGATTTATAATTTATTTTTAGTAATTTTTGTTGAAAAGTTATTGAAGGTTTTTAAGATTTTCAAATTTGTATATAAATCTTTGTTACGAGGTTTGCCGTCTAGATCACGTGGAAGTGCTCTAGACTCTCGAGGTGGTTTATAACTAGGCGTCAAGCAGGGACTTAAGTAATGACAATAATGATATGCAATTCGTAACTAATAGTAGGATATACTAAATGATTGATCTTGAGCACGAAGCTCTATACAAAGGAAATCCATCTTGATTATATAGTCCTTCATGCTTTCATGATTACTAGTGATCCTTCATGATCATTAGTGATCATCTATATCGTGATCCTTAGTGATCCTTAATGATCACCAGTGATCACCTATACCGTGATCCTTAGTGATCCTTAATGATCATCAGTGATCACCTATACCGTGATCCTTAGTGATCCTTAATGATCACTATTGATCATTTGTGATCACGTGTCTTGGTAGTTGTGTAGCCCGTCGTAACAATCTTATACAAATTGAAAATTGTAATTTCAACTTTCAACTTCTCAATCAATAAAATCGCGAAAAATCTGAAATTTTTAGAATTTACTAATATCTATATAATAAATTTATAATGCAAATTTCATCAAATTTTGTGGATTAATTGTAAAGTTATTAATAGTTAAAACCCATGATTTTTGGTGTAAAAGGTGGTCGGAATTAGGGGGTGGCCGGAAAGTAGGGTACTAGACTTAGGGAGTTAGTGAGACAATTGAGGGATATCTTATGGAAAGGAGATAAAAAGGACTATTATATATTCAAGTGAAGGGTCTGAAGAATTAAGAATGAGGTTAATAACCTATTTCATAACACCATGATTCTTTGATTTTCCAATGCAGGGGTATAAGCGGCAGAGTTTAATTAATCATTGTGAATTGTCAAATCTGTAGATTTACTTATTTATATTTCGAGAGATATTTGGGAAGGAAGTTAGAATGAAGTGATGCGTAATGGCCCAGCTAGTTGTATACGTAGATCATTTTGCGGGGGCTTTTTTCTAGTGTAAGTAAATTGGCTCGAAGGAAGACAGGAGGTTTGAAGTCGAGTATAAAAACATGGTATGAGTGTAGTGACGATATCATGCCTGTGAGTAATCAAAAAGAGGGGGATGAAGGACTGGAAGTAATTGTTTGCGCCATATTCAGTCATCCACTCATCCTCCATTCATTCTTTTTGACGATAATTCTAGAGTTACTTGGATGTATTCAGTTGAATTTTGCAACTTATCAAGGTGAATTTGACTGTCATTTTAGTACATTCGTACATTATTAATTGCGGAATAATAACCGAAATAAAGAATGGCAGTATGAGCATGACGGAATATGACATTTGAGATAATTCTGAGCTCTCACTTCGATATTTCGTAGAGGAAGATGGGCTTGAATCTATGGCGGTTATGGAGTAATTTTTGACGGACCTCCCTCAAGTTTGTGCCTTTTTCGTCACTTACTGTATGGATGGATCAATAGGTCCGCAGATTTAGTTGTTTATATACTTCAATATGGAGAAAAACAGTCGTTGGTGCATAGCTACTGCTAGACAGCTAATGGCTATCAAAAAAACACCGGGCAGTGCAACGAAATATACAATATCATATATCAAGCGAATATCCAGCTCCGAAAGAATTGGATGTTCCTGGCGGGTAGCTTTACTTCTGGTATGACTGTATCTCTTGGTGAGACCTACTCATTTTTCAAAAATCGTTCCTTCTTGGTGTCCTGATTCTTGTTGTTGTGGTTGAGTCTTCTTTTGCCGTCGCTTCCGATTATGGGTGTTTTTCATTGATTGTTTAACATGGGTATGATAATTGTTAGAATAAAATGAGAATACTTATACATCTATACAGACATATTAGTTTGCTTATGACAGATTGGACAGAGGTGGACTGAGTTTTATCAGCCGAAGTGGGATTCTCCGCAGCTTTCACGGTAGACGGTAGCATTAAGATCTTGATCTCTATCCATTCAGGAGACGCGACTTTCTTCCTGTAGGCTGCATCACTCATTCGCTAAATTACATGTTTGTATATCCTCACTACCCAGGGTTAGGAAAACAGACATGGCCGATTCACTCACACAATATCATATTCGCGCCCCATCTGAGCGAATGAGGCAAAGATGCTGTCGCTAAGATGACAAAAAAGCAGGAAGCGTAGTCCCTTGAATGAATATGGCTTGAGTACAGCGCATTTAAATAGAGATCAAGGACGAGGTTTGTCCTTCACTAAACTCTTTCATACTAGCCTGATTTCCGAATCCTAGGAACTTCTGCTCACAATCATAAGCCTATCTCTAGCCTACCACAAACACACTCCAAGAACAAGTACTTATTCCTAACTAGTCTTATAGTTGTCACTTACCAGATCTTGTTATCATTGACAACAAGAAGATTTATGCGAGAATTTCGATGAAGATCTGTCTATCTCATTGCATAGACTTGAAGCTCTTCAATCCTGACGAGTAAAAAACCGCGACGCTGGTTATTTCCATGCGCATGAAGGTTCTTTGGAACCAAACATACTTAGTGTTAAAACATATCAACATGTAAGGACCTTTATACTCCTCGAAGAATTCATGACATGCAATACTTGACAAATAACAGCTAGTCCGAACTTGGACTTTAGATTATAGTCAGACCATAGTATTCTCGCTTTCTTGCCCCGGTGTTATAAAAGGATCGAGTACTTGACTTTGAGGCAAGTGCAAAAGAAGATGCCGAATGTTGATTTTAACCCCCGGTTCACAAGGCTTGTGATCGTTCTTTTGAGAATGGGATTATGATGGAAAGATTGTTTCGTTTCACGCAGTGATCATGATTCGATATTCGGAAATGTGTTTAATTTCGTATGATGTTGTTCTCGATAGTGTATTTTCATTGTTATAAATAGAAAGAAAATTTCTCGATAATGGTGAACTAGCCCAAGAATCGAATCACATTTAGCCTTTATTTAGATAATCTGTTGGGCCTCACCTTAAATCACAACCCCTCGAGGAATAAAGACCTCAGATAGCATGTTTTTTGACATATTATAGAAATGGTTTCGACGCTTTCAATTCAACTGGATAATATAAGAACTGATGCAGCAGTACCGCAGCGGAAATAATTAAGATCAAGTCTTGGACTCCCTAAACCATACTTGGGACATCAACAACCTAACTGCGGGGGACTCACGTAATACACTATCATGATGGCAGCTATGCCTATTGGTCCACAGTGTAATTTCGGGGATAGACTAATGTGAGCAAGATTATAATACTCCGAGTACTAAGTCTAGGTTGAGCTTATCCACTCGGTTTGTAATTTGTCCTATGGCTCTTGTTGTTGCTTTAAAACTTGCACTAATTCAGTAAAAATACATGGCAATGTGGTCGTAGTTGACAATGAAAATGGTATATATGGAATAGAAACACTGAAAAAATTTGAGGCTTGGTCCTTGATAAATCGATACATGTCCCTGGATGCCTTTTTCGGAACAAGTTTCTTGCTTCCAGTATGCACTGGTCCATTGCAAATATTTATTTATAGATAAGTGAGGCTTGAAAACTCGTATTTTATACTGGGTTGAAACATAGAAAGCCCAAACAGGAAAAGGTATCAGCAACAACTACCACTCGGAGTTGGATTGAGTAGTTCCTATTTAATGAATCACACAGCCTATGCATCTATTCATTTAAAGCTTCCCCATCTACATATACATCCTATATCATTTTCCACATCCTAGTCTAATCTCCCCTTTCCCTTACAACTTCGGTCTCTCCTTCAAATACCCAACACACCACTCCACAGCCGCCCTATATCCAAAAACACCCAACCCACAAATAACCGCCTCCGCCTTGTCACTCAAAAAACTCTTATGACGAAATTCCTCCCTCTTATGCACATTACTTATATGCACTTCCACAAACGGAATATCAACACCAGTCAAAGCATCTCTCAGCGCAACACTATAATGTGTGAAAGCAGCGGGATTTATCACAATAGCATCCGTTCCATCAGTACGGGCTTCATGAATCCGATCAATGAGTGCACCTTCCCAGTTACTTTGGAAGGTTAGAAGCTCGACGGAGGGAGTAAGTGAGGAGAGGTAGGTGCTGAGAGATGATTCGATAGAGGCGAGGGTGTCATAGCCGTAGATGTGGGGTTCACGCGTTCCGAGGAGGTTGAGGTTGGGTCCGTTGAGGAGGAGAATCTTTTTGATGGGCATTGTGATGATTTTGAGGTGAAGGTTTTAATTTGTGGTTTTGAGGTGGTTTTTTGTTTGATGTTGGTGCGTATGAAGTGAAATGGGATGTTGTAGAGAAAAAATAGAAACTTACTTCACCTATTGCCTTTTGACGGAATTGTCTTCATCCATTTTGACGTTCCAATTACTTTGCCATCTGTAATGACTTGTATCTCATATGCTTGAAATTTGGATGTTTTGGTAAAGGAATTGTAAGGAGGTTGATCGCGGGTAATAAAAAGCGGGGTCGGATAAAGATTTATCCCTCTCATCAACCACTGCGATGGGGGAAACTAAGAAATTTGTAAAGTCAACCTCACCTTATTTGGATCGGGCTTCATCCATTATCGGAGCAGGCTAGCTTATGGTCTGCGGGGTATGACTTTCCTGTTCCGGGATTTCACTACCGCTTGCCGTGGTTTTGGGTTCAACACATCCAGAGACTGGGTACATTTTTGTATTTCTCAGTATTTAAGACATGACTCTTGCAAACAGATTGAAATAACCACCCTCAACTACTTCGTAGCAGCCTGAGTATGTCTGCTCACAGACTCCAAAGTTTTGGTAGTATAATTCTGCTTTGTCCTTCGAGTTGCGCCTTTCGAAAGCAGGAATGGCATGTTACGGAACTCAAGTGACGTCCATCTGATAGCAAGTTCAGAAAATGGTAGCGGACTTTTTGCACTCTTCCCAAGAATGTAATCATTCAATGGCAATGTGAATGATGGATCGACAATGCTCCTCGTTGCGACCGACCTATTTCAGCAGAGCTGTCTACCGTCCTCTATTAGAGTAATATTCCCCAGCATTTCTTATACGTAGATTAAAATGACGAGAGAAATTGAGCCCTTCTCACCACCTGGAGTTCCCGGTCTCCATCAGCTTTCTATCGGTTTGATCCGAGGGCACGGAGTTTTTATACTGGTCCAAACACTAACTTTATACTGTTCCATAAACCAACTTTGTGGGTTGGAGAGAACTTTACGCAGAGCAGCTTACTGCTCAGGCACTATGTCTCCAGTATTCTGATACCATAGTGAATCTGTTTTCGCGCGGCTGATTGTGATGCCCCAGTCAAAGTTGTTTGATATATAGTTCATCCAGGGAAGCAAGTCAGCTTAAGAATGGCATTGAACTGAAAAGTTTTCGATACAAAAACTACAGTTCATCGCCAACTCCGCCTTTCTATTAGATTGATCAAGGTCGAGGAAGTGTCCGAAAAATCTAAGATTGTTTTCAGTTTGCGCTAATATACTATAGGTGTTGTAGTAAGAACGTTCGCTGTTGTAGCCTATTAATTTTGCGATTAACAGTATTGACATATGGTTTTGCTCGTTGTTGATGAATTTCTAGTCGTTGGAGTGACTATACTTCGGAGAAGAAGAATAGAGTGAATGTAGGATTTGACTTACCTCCTCGCTCCTCCTGTCTTGCCAACCAACTCATTTTTTCACGTACACTAGCTAAAACTTAGTATTCTAAGCAAACCGCTCTCGCACTTGTTGCACAAAAAGGCAATTTTTCATCTGGTTTTGAAACCCAGTCTTAGGTGCACTTCGTTTCCCTTTTACCCCGTCAAGCTTCCCGATTATCAAAGCTTATATAACAACTCCTCAAGTCAAAAGCTGCCGGGAAAATGAGAATCTTGGCATACATCCTTGCAGCATGCTCTCTATAGTGTATCATGTACTCTTCGTATTTTTTATGGTGATTAATTGTCAAGTGATAGATTCTATTAGGGTGTATTTGCAACCTCAAATCCAGCACATACGGCATAAAAGTCGCCAGCCAAAACAAAGAACAAAACAAGCTCTTTAACAACCTCTTCATATGCTGCAGGCTGTTGTGTTTTTAGTCTGAACGATATTGAATGTACTCAGGCTAGAGACTATCAATGTGTTTGACGATGGAGGTGGGAATGGTTATACCTAAAGATAACTGGGACAGACTCGTAGGATTTTGGAACCCCTCATCTCAACATTCGATCAAATGCCTTCACTGAGGACAAACTTTCATGGTTTTCAGCTAAATATCAGTATATTATCTGAAAGCGCAGGACGTATCGCCTTGAGTTGGACTGTTCTCGTTTTCAGATGGCAGTAAATTTATCCTAGGAGAAAACGGTAAGTGCAGATTCGATTGATAATTCGAAAACAAAGTACAAGCCAGGATTCATACTTCAGTAGTAACCTCAAATTGCACGTCTGATAACTTAGCTTGATGTTGTCGCTAAAACCACCAATTGTCAGTATGTACATCTTCAAAATGGCTGAGTGGATACTGGGATGGTTCAAGGTGGTGTTGGTAAATAGATCAAGTAAATACTCTGTGAAGAAGTATCAAATACGACTCAGCCTCCTCGAAACATCCACAGCCTTCACCTGCTTCCAAGACGATACCCACTAGGTATACACAAACTGTAGTCTCTAAAATTTTAACTTGATGTAGGTATGCAAGTCAAAACATGTTGAGCAGAAACTTCTAATCAATTTTTTGGACTTAATCTCCACCTCGTATTATTTTGGGACTTTGCAGACCTTGAGAAATGTTCATATTAGCAGCGGCTGTAGAGTTCCATCTGCACAGATTCCAGACTCCCTATGTGTCAAACCAAGCGAGTGTCGCGCACCTGGACCGCGAGACGACTCTGGCGAGCCGAAGGAGCCTGAATTCGGTTGGAATCACTATGCATTTTAACATTCACCTATCTTCGTGGGTTATGGCTAATTAAGCTTGAAAGAAATTAGGGCTACTCAAAGAGGGCAATTTAGTTATGCGATGCGACACATATATGATGTGGGTATCATGCGAAGCACAAATCGCCGCAAGAAGCTCTTCAGCGGGAGTGTGTCCGAAGTATACATGAAAACATGGACAAGCACCAGCCGCTGAGAAGGAATGCCGGTACTACAATCATTGGTAGCTGCACGCAGCTACGAAGTGAACTTCATGAAGAGACTTTAAAGGTTGCATAGTGATCGAGAAGCTGGACGCAAGTTATTTGAACTCCAAATAACATGAGTGGTCATCCATTGGTCCAGATACTCACTCAGCAGCTGCAAAGTCTTGCTTCCAATATAGTCAAACAGCATAAAGTAACTCCTTGCCCGAAACTGCACTAAGTCACCATCCCTCCCATAAATCACTCAATAATCTGCGTTCTACCCAAAAAATCTATTCATTATTTATGTAACCTCTACAGGAACTAGTCTTTCAAAGAACTATCAGAATTCCAATTGTATTTTCCTTTCCTCCTTTTTATACCCCAAACCATCCAACCCGAAAAAGGATATCTTACAAAGACTACAGAGTATATTTAGTATACAGGATGCTCAATCAAAAAGCCTTCCCGATCGAAAATGCAAATGGCCCCTTTCCCCCTCCCGTCCCTCTATCTTCTCTTCCTATCGTCGGAGAATCATCTACTCTTATTCTTCCATTCTTCTTCTTTCCACTGCTACTCCCACCATCATAAACACTAGGACTAAGCGTCATGATACTTGAATCGCTGTGCGTATACGCATGCGTTGCTCTCGGTACTGTTGTTGATTTCGGTAACGAAGGAGGTCTCTCATCCAGCGTGAATATAATCTCTTCTCCTTCTTCTAATTCTCTATCTCCTATTTCCCTCGTGGAGTCTCTCCTATAATCTTTTGTCGAAGAAAAAGGTGAAGTAGGCGTTGATGATCCGTAAACGGACGGAGCTTGCGACTGGCGATAAGAAGGCATAACCATACTCATCAGTTTCTCACCAATGCCCATACTGGTACTCATCACACTCCTCGCATTGCTTCCTCTTCTTTCCTCCCCTCTTTGCAGTGTATCCCTAGGAGTAAATAATACGCTAATGCTCTTACTACTCCTACTCAACCCACTCTCACTTATACGAATAGATCTTTCCCGATCTCTTCTCTCTAATTCCGCTTCTGCCATCTTCATTTGATAATCCATTTCTGCGATTTCTTTTTCAATATCGATTATTGCATGTCTGCTGTAGTTATCTTCATCGCCTCTCTCATAGTCACCTTCTACATAATCTCTATTCATAGTTTCTTCTTCCGGATAAGAATTCATATACCGTGAAGCGTATTTTGTTTGGTTGTAAGAGGTTGAGACTGAGGAGCGATCAGATCGTGGAGTACTGGCCGGGTAATTGTTTGCATCGCCTGGATTTGGACCCCCATAACTCGCTGTGTTTTTCTCCATTCCTTCCCCATAACCTTTGTACCCATTCTGTGTCTCCCTAATTTCATTTTCTCTCTCCCTTTCTCTCTTTATTTTTCTCCGCGAAAAAAATCGATAAATTAATACACTCAAAACACTACTTGCAAAACTCGTTCCTAAAATAAGCACCACAGCAACCGTCATTGGAATTGTTGTTGCCTTTGAAAACTGCACCGCTGTATTTGCATCCGCCAATTGTGAAGATATCGCCCACGCCGATTCCGTGGCTGCTGCGCCTAATGCCAATGCTGCCGCTTGTGCACTATGTGTGGCGAGTGAATTGACCGAGATAAGTGATGCCGACACGGCGGAGAGCTCTGAACTGGCGCTCGCTTTTAAGCTTGTTATTTCCGCACTTGCACTTCCCAATGCAGCGGCGGCGGAAGATTGGACTGAGGCAATAGCTTCCGAGGCACTCGCGTCAGCGGCGGCGGCACTAGCTTGTGCTACAGAAATACTGGCTGCGGCAGCGGTGCTGAAAGAAATTATTTGGGCGGATGCGTTGGATGCGAGACTTGAATAGACTGCGCTTGAGGCTGAGAGGACGAAGCCATTGCAGTCTGAGCCGATGGTAAGAATGCCAGCGATTAGGGCAGTTTTGATTCCAGGTGCCGTGGTAACTTCTGGTTGGGAGGTTGGAGATGTAGGCGATGACGAAAGGCTTGGAATAGTTGTTAGGGTGACGGATATGGGAGATGGTTGGGATGTACGGCGGAGAAGAGAGGCATTGCAAAGTCCTGTTCCTGTCGCGAAGACTAGGAGGGAGAATTGATTAAGGTGCATGACGCCCCGGAGTTATGGTCTGAATTTCCATCAGTTAGTATTACTGAAGACGCAAGTAACTGAGACAATAATGGAATCTTACCTTGAGTGTCCGGTATGACAAAAAACTCAACTACAAATGCGTCCAGCACTGTTCCGATCCATCTAGTCGGCTTATTAATTTCTTTTTCTGTCCTGCAGACTACAGTATAGTAAGTTCATTAACTCGTATACCATATGTCAAATTGGTATAATCACATCAACTAGATCACCAGAATCGCGGGGAAGGACAAAGGATGAATAGAATCTAAAGCCGTTGACACCAACGACTAACTACTTCGATGTGCATAAGGTACACGGTTGGAATTTCTACCCGCGATCTTCTAAGGCTAGATCGCGCGTTTCATACCTACTGCACCCACGAAATTTGCCTTGCCTAATGGTCGCAGGAAGGAAAATATAAGGTGATGTAGGAACTTCGCGACTTGGTTACCACTAGTCTGTGCGTGAAGTGTTTGGGAATACCATCCAATCGGGACTCGGGATACAATATGATGAAAACTATTTCATACAATTTTGATTCAACGATATTTCCTTTTAAACCTTTTATTCATGATAGTATATGATATCTGACTGAAAGCTTGACACAAATCAATCGAGAAAAGCTTCACTCGAAGTAGAATCACCACAGGTCAAATTGACAAGATCTGGCGAACAAATAAAAAATTGCAGCCGCAACAAAAAAAACCCCTAGTTTAAGCTTCAGGGTAAACTTTAAACCCCAGAGATCAGTCCACTATTTTCTTCCCCTGATGAACTATATTCGAACATTGACGGACAAAGTTTCGAGTTCAAGGTTCATGAAGATAGTAGAAACACGCACGGCTTTCACTAGTGCGACGTTGACTTGTCACGAAGCGAATCACTGCGTCCAAGCCCCTGGAATCGGATCAATCTAGGAACCGATTCTACATTTATTACTGCTTGTGGAAAGAAATTTATGTCTTCTCGGTCGTTGCGCCGAAATTCTCCTGTCCTGTTTCTTGGAATATTGGGATAGATGAATATCAGAGTATCAGATTGAAAAAGATTGGATAAATGCTTTACCTGCTTAACAATTTTTTCATCGCATAAATTGGCAATCCGAGAACATTCCCTATTCAATCTTTATCGATGAGTCTAAAATTTGGAAAAAGCTAGAAGTGGGTTCAACTCCGGAATGGATTATTGAGGTCTCATTGTCACCACATGTTGTGGGACATGTTCTTGTTTAATGATTGTCGCATTCCAGAGTAGCTCATACCTCAAAACATACACCAGTAATGATAGTGATAATATGAATTCTTTTCTACTCATGCCTCGAAAATATTGATTAAGTCCAACGAAAGGAAGCCACGCAAAAGTGCTGGCATTCAAATATGATCGCACTTGCGTCTAATCGCGAAGCTATGTAGAAGAGTATATCCTGATAACTTATTCCTCTCTAGATCGCTTTAGTGGATTTGGTTGAGTTGTTCCTCCTGCCTCTCTCGGTTGTTGTGGATCAACTGATTCTTTTAGACCTTCTGGAACATCTGGTTCAGGCGGATGCTTATCATCATCTGAAGCTTCTGGCCGATTTACTTCAATCCCATTCGCTGTCTTCTGTGGTTCAACTGGCGCATTTGAATGCTGCCTATCCTCTGGGATAATTGGCTCATCCAATTGTTTCAGTCCTGTCGAAATATTCAATCTTTCCGAAGCTGGGTCTGCATCCGAAAGTTTCGGATTCTTCGAATGCTTCGATTTCTTCGGATCCTTTGCCTCTTTAGGCTGTTTTAGGGCAGGCTCACGTCTTCTTCCATGTCCAGGTATACCATTCTTATTGCTCGTATGCCATTGGCAGTCTACCTTATGACCATCATTACCTTGTCTCTTAATTGCCCGGAAATCGGCACAACAACACCAGCAAAATTCGAAGAGGCAATAATCACCTAAGAATCAATCATGAGTCAGTTGGGATAACCAGTGTACAGCAAGGACTTGGAAAATACAACGTACACTCACAAACCAAATGATCGCAACCAGTCTTCTTCTGTATTCTCATTCCACATTCTGGGTTTGGACAAAGCCTCGCATGCTGAGTAATCCATGCTTCGGAAGCTGCTTCTTGACGAACACGGACTTGATTAAAAATGTCGAATTCGGCGCATGTAAGGTCTTCGTGCCATGGAAGTTTGTGAATGAAGCATGTTTTAAAGTTACACGTAGTACATGTCATCATAGGCTGATCGGCGCTTTTATGTATTTGACCTGATTCGCAGGTAGGATTAAGGCAAAAGGTAAAGTTTGGGAGGTGTTGAAGAGACATAATGAATGTTCTCCTTCCCTTTCTGTTAGGTTTATAGGTTAGTATGGTTATGACAGAAATGAACAGAGTATATTGCCTTTCCAACACTTCTGGTGATGCATAACTCTTTATTTCCGCATCGGAAACTTTTTCCGGGCACTCAGGGCACAAAATCTTATCAGATGCCTTTGTTTGAACTTGGATGTTGATATGTTTGGTCAGACATTGACAGCAAACCGCTGGATGATGTGCACATGTACTGGCTATGCGTCTTTGTGGGAACTTTTCCGGTGCTAGGGTTTCCATGCAAATCCTACACTCATTAACTGCGGCGAACAGAACTTCGTCTTCTGGTTCGAGTTTTGCTTTTTTGGCTGCTGGTTTTTCAGTGATCTCTAGAGTGATCGGTGGCTAGCACAGTAAAAAGTTAGTAAGTGTGATAAAATGGAGCCTTCGACAACGTTTATATGAGCTAGACATCAAACCAGACTGGAACAATTACCTTCAAGGCATCACCTAAAAGAGCTGCTAGAGCTCTACATGAATTCTCGCCGGCGAACCACCTCACCAGTGCTTCTTTTTCTCTTTCACCAAGCGACTTTTCAAGTTCGAGAAGCTTCCGAAGAGTTTCTTCTTTTCTATCGTTACCCTTCACCTGAACGTTATAGCGACTTAGAAGGCGTTTCATGGAGCTTCTTCGATGTTGAGACGGAGAAAAGCCAAAGATCAAGCCAGGAAGGTCGGGAAATCTTGGGTCTGGTGTAGTGCTCATTGTTCTGGAATATCTCATACAATATAAAGAATATTTGAGGGACTAGGACTTGAAGAAAGCAAACTGTGGGAGGAGGATGAGAAAAGGAACCAGGGGAATTAAGAGAAGACTGGTTGCTGAAATAGAGATATATATCGTCTGAACCGTCCGGCGCCGTTAAACAAATTGACAGAAAGAGGTGGTTTCTTTGTTTTTATAAATGCGATTATAAAAGTGAATATTTAGAGGGAATTTTGTATTCTTTCTTATCTACCCCGCATTACATGGGATGAACCTGAGCTGAGGATATCTGGGATTTGCTACAATAAGTTATATTCAATCTCAGATAAGGACTTCCAAAGACATGGATTCATCTTCAAATATCTGGTTCGAGGCTTGATGGTTTTGGAAGACTTGAGCCTCTATTTCAGAAGTGTTGACGATCAATGATCTAGGATCATGTTCTAGAAACGCGCGGTTTTCCCAGAGTCTGAAGCTGATGAGCTTCATGTAGTGCATTAAAAGAAGCAAAGACTTAAACTTTGCAAAGACTTCCTCTCTAGACACCATACTACTACACAACAACCGGACGGAACATACGTCACGGGGCCAAGATTAAACATATCGAGGCCTATCGTAGCGAAAACAGAAAGAGCTATTTTCCAGCACAAACAAGCATAGGAAGCTTTCAGTCCCGATATTTCGAAGCAAATTTTTTTCGAACCGTATCTGTATAACTGGAACCTGATCAGAGACCTCAGCCCGCCCGGAATCTGTTGCCTATATTCTGGATGAAATAGATATGTACGAAACAATTTTAAAGGGCTTTGATACGGCGAGAAGAAGCTTGGGCTACAAGAGTCGCTGGAAGCTGGTTCCGAGGAACCACGTCAAGACATACGTATAGAAGCTTCTTCACGTCAAATTCATATATGTATCTAAGTTATAAAAGTTGACGAGAATGAGCAATAATAAGTTCATTTACCGTCGATGGCATCGAGAAAGAAGGGTATTAAATAACTACTTCCATCACTAGGAAAGTATAGTGATGAATAATAACAACAGACGCACCTATGAATACTGATAGTGAGTAGTAACAACAAGTCTAAACTTCAACTTATCGATCAAGTCCCTCAATTAAATGATATTCCAACCGCTTGGCAGAAAATATGATTCAATAAGCACAATAAGGATGGATCTGAGTATCAATGGTCAGGAAAACTTCGATCTTATGGACACAGAAATGATGGCAAAGAAATCATAATCAAGTGAACGAGCTGTACTCCTGATAACTGTCGACAGCAAATAATAAAAAAGACTGAAAGGACTATGATAGCGATGCAGAAACTCGTTCGATGACAGATGGAGTGTTAGGATATTGATACTTCCCTTTTTTTTAATCGTCGGGTCGCACGTGCTGCTGGATCCTGCGTCAAGGCATTTCAAGGAGCTACGTCTAATTATCAAACAATTATGGTTCCCGTCAAAACAAATTAAACTGCAAATTAATATGTTCCATGAGTGCTGTCGCGCCGGGTTGTTAGCTAAATGGAAAGGAAGAGGTTACTTTCAGAACAATTACCACGTGACAGTCAGATCACCGTTCGAAACGGCCGCATAATCCGATTGTCAAACCCCATTCCGTTTAGCATCTTTATTCTGAATAACTTCCCGCTTCTTTTCCTTTTAGCTCTGATTTCTAAGGAGATGGGGATGTCATTCTATAATGTACAATACATGGCAATATATCAAACGGAATATCAATTAACCAACATTTCCAGATGAAAAGCCACAATTTCAGGGGCACATGTTTATCTCCCCACTCACCATGAGGGCACTAGGGAGGATGCTCAAGTGATTGCATCATAAAGTAGGGATAAACATCTAAGTAGTACGTACTTTCATGCTTGAACTTCAAAAGGTATTTATATCATTTTTCCGCTCGTATGCATCTTCATCACTGTTCATACAATCAGTACGTTTATCCACCTCCCCAACGAACAAGATGCACTGCCGCAAATTAGCCATATCGTCCATATCTCTCAGCCGCCTCGAGCCACATTCTCCTCGCCTTTGAGATTTCACAGAGGCCCGGAATTTCTTGCACGTTCCGTGTCGCGATCGGTCATCTGACGCTCTTCTTCGGATGCCCTTCAAGGGACGGTGATTACACAAACTCTTGTGGATGATTTGCCCAAGGAGAGAATTAATGATGATATAGATACTATTATCCTTGATTTACAGGAAGTAGCGGCTATGAGTGCGCAAGAAGAAGCAGTCGTAAGATTTGCACCTAAGAAATACATGCTAAAGTACACTTGATACATGGAGTCTAGAGGGGATACAGACGAGGGAAATAGCCGAACGAATTTTTCGCATCGTTTTGAATACCAATTCTAATATTGTAGGAGGATTCGTGCAGACTTTTCATCCGGGGTCGGGTGGGAAATGACACTAGGAAAACTAGATTTGAAGAAGTTTGGAGAATCTAGTAAATACTATCGAGGTTGAGAAAGTTTTCTACACTTAGGTTGTTTATGCGGAGAAAATGAAGCAGCCATTATGAGGCTCGTCCGTGTTGGAATGATGCACAACCTGCAGAATGGTGAAGTTGAATACTAGACAGAAGGAAAGAGGTGCATATCTTCAATTGAAGCGGCTAGAGAGCTATCATCCAAGGGCTGCATACAACCTAGAAATCGGATGAGTATAAATCTGTCTGATAGACCAATAGAGAGCGTATCCGAGAGGAACATGCGAGAAGAGCACTGAATTTTAGCAAATGATTAAGAATATGGATGAGTAGGTAGAACCTCGATGGTTGGCCAGTGAATATGTATCACCAGTATTTATATCCATATCATCTAAAGAACGGGTTGCAAAGCAATGATGCGTACTAATACAATGATTCAACATGCGTGAGCATGCGCATGGACTAAAGATGAAAGTAGGAGATTTATCATCGTTAGAAGTCATTGGGATAAGATGGTGTGTAATGGTAAATTGAAAAATCAAACACACACTTCCCTCACCACAACTCAGCCATTGAAAACTCCCGATGGTGCGAAATCTAAGATTATGAAATTGTAAGACTTAACTTCCAAATTTCTCCACACAAACTACCCCATCCTATAATATAACAGAGTAATAATTAGAAGCATGGTAACCCTCATTAATTGATATAGTACAAATACAAATATGAATATAAATATAAATATACTGCACAAAACTCTCCACATCCCAAGCTACATCCATCCAACCAACCACCCAACCATTTACCCACAACCTAAATACACTGACTATACCACTCACTAGAAACAACACACTTATAAGGATCCTCACAAACCGTGCTTCCAGTAAACCCATTACCACCACACTGAGCAAAACGCACCGCCTTTACTACTGGAGCTGCCGCGGCATTGCACGAGGAAGTAGGGGCAGGAGTCGGCTCAGCACTACCTGTCTCAATGGCTCCGTTACTGCCTGTATATTTTATATTAATTAGCTCATGTAATTAATTGTGTTATTTATGGTTTTGGGAAATATATATTTTTCTTGTGTCTGTTCGGATATCTCGTCATATTCTTCATTTTTAAGCTCTTATCAGAGAGAAGAGAAGAGAAGAGAAGAGAAGAGAGAGATGAATGATAATGAAATTGGATGGTTCAGATGGGAAGAAGGGAAGAAGGAAGAGGGTATAACATGCGTACCACAGTAGTCGGTGCCAGTTCCGCAGAATCCGAATGCGCTACAGCATAAGCCCTCTGCGCATGTACCACCAACACCTCCTTCACAAGCACCTGTTTCTGGTTGAGCAGGGGTAGTAGAATTAGCACCTATTCAAATTAGCTTTTTTCCATGCTCCAGATTTTCACATGTAATTCGAAGCTCGCTTATCTCCCATCATCATTGTTTGTATCTAAGCTCTTATCAAGAGAAAGACACGAATGATGGGATGTGAAAAGCCTGTTGAAAAAGAAAAAGAATCATACCACAGTAGTCTACTCCAGTTCCACAGAATCCATGAGAGCTACAGCATAATCCGTCTGCGCATGTACCACCGATACCTCCTTCACAAGCACCTTGAGGTGTTGCTGCGGGGGGAGTTGTGCCTATTTGTATTAGCTTTTATGATTCAAGATTCTGCTATTCCACTCCACCAGGAACCACACCACAGTTGCTCCAAGTCAATCTACAATATGAACACAGAAAGCAAAAGAAACTCACAGTATTCATCCCCAGTTCCACAGAATCCATTGGCGCTACAACATAATCCATCCGCACAGGTACCACCTACACCTCCAGCACAAGTACCAGTTATACAAAAGTCAGGGCCTGTACCGCAGAGGAAAGAATCATTACAGCAGAGACCTATGTGACAAGTGAGAGTTAGCCAATTTACTCTCAAATATGGTTTCAGGGGTGAGATGATGAGGAATGGTAGATGTATGATGTACAGATAAATTGAGTTGTGAAAAGCAACCAAATTCAAAAATGAACAAATATACGAACCAGTTGGACAAGGAGAAACGGCACAAGAGACGGGTTCCTGGCTTGGGCATGCGAGGGGTGATGCGACAGTGGATCCCACAAGGAGGAGGAGAGAGAGAGCTTTGAAGGCTGAGGTAGTGAACATTTTGAGAGTCTGAACTGGTTTATCGTTGGGTTTGATGAATGGGTGAGTGTTGATGGATGATGGTGAGGGTTATATAGAATACAGAACTTGAGTTGAACTTCCAAAAAAGGGCCGTTGAACTGCAGATCTTAATCTCAGTGAATGTTTACAGAATTGAGCAAAGGATGAGCTTACGCAGGGTACCCCATTGTATCTTCTTACTACTTTTGATAAGATGGTCTCATTGTTAAATCTTTAACTATGTACCCTAGAATATATGATTTGTTGAAGCAATATTCAGGGATGTAATATATAAAATTATAAAAAGTATATAAAATTGTACTCGCGTCTTTTCATGGAAATTGTAGAACAAAAATTATATTATGAGACTTGAGATAAGATTCCTCTAGGATGATACTACAATCCAAATTTTTTGGAAAAATGTACAAAATGATCATAGTATAAAGTAAACCATCAGTATGATTGAGGGTGATTCCAACTTTGGATGATTATCTACACCCACAGATATAGCCATACCGCCAAACAATTATTGAAGGTAAATTCTCTAACAGTAAATCAGCCAAATATCTTGAATACCTTGAAGGATAAGGGTTGAAATTTGGGACAATATAAGATAAGATACCCATGCTGTCACATACAAAGAAACAATAAAACTCAAAATAAACCTTCAACTTATGCTTTTAACCCCTCGCGTAAAATGAGTCTAATGACGGATAAGATTATTCAAAGTGTAAATTCTACACCCCGCTTACTTTTCCTACTCAGTCCACTTTACTACAAAAATATTCGATATTAACATCTTACGACTAAAATGCTATCAGTTCGAGCCACCAGTCCCTGGCAGAATGGCAGGTTTACCTTCCTGCTCGAAGAAATATGGAATTTGACTAAACGATATTCTCTAAATCCTTAATTTCAGCATGTGGTTTCAATATCACACAACTAGGATTGATTCACCACGTTCTGGCACATGGGAGATTTGATACGCGGGATTTCGTACTCTGCGGATGAATTTTACAGAATAAGAAGATAGATAATAAAGTATGTGGAGATATAATCTATGTAGTATGCACTGTGCAGCACTTGAAAAGAAGAACGATGATTTGATGAGGGGTTGTGCATGGTCGATTTACCGCGTAGTTAGAATAAACTTTTCGCACTCGTTTACTTCGGAAATTGACGGTTTGATCGTGGGGAACTAGGCCAAGGACTTTCAACGGTGACGTTAAAATTATTCATTTGACAGAAAACCTTAAAGTATGTGACATAAACTTATGAACATATGGCTTCCTTGTATCACAGTGCTTCGTAGGTTTATGTACCAAGCTTCATCCTGGCGTGGCTCGTGGTTTATACATGGAAATGCAAAATTTAAGAGATGTACTTCAAATGAGTGATGTGCCATGTGGAAATGTACCAAGGACTAATATTGGCTGTCCAGCCATCAAAACAAATACATGTAAAGCCAAAGAAAAGCACTTGAAAACAAACTTACGGATAAGCATTTTGCAGTGTGTGGAGATGTTTTATCGAAAAGCAGATTTGCATGAAAATTAGTACAACGTCGACATGTGTATATTCTGATGATATTGTAGCTAGCGTTGCCATTGGCTGTATATTGTAAAACATATGTTTCTCTTCAATGAGTATCTAGAACTCGACGGCTACGATAAGCTTATAGCCTGCCTGCCATTCGGGTTGGATATGTGGCGACGATTTGAACCTGGTCCGGATATCCTGTTAAATAAAGTTTCCCGGAGTATACGGAGATTTTTCTGTGTCCGCTTCATGATTGACATGATAATTCTCGATGATTTTTAAGACTTCAAGTGGGTGGCTTAGGAAAGGTAATGGGTCGATCAAAAAGCTTTCGAGCAGCCATTTTCCGGACGAGTGACATTAGGCCTTTCCCCTATTCTTTCGTCTATGATAATAAGCTTCTTAGCTTTTGATTCGCTGAGGGCCAGTAAAGAGTTCATTCCCCCTCTTTTTCTGGAGAGAGTGGATCTTCAATTCTGGTACCCCTATTGTTAAATTGTTCCCGTCAGACTTGGGGTCTCTGTCTCTTTTGTTCGGCGAGACATTCATCATCTCTTTTCCTCTTTCCGATCCGATCCTTTGAGAGATTTGATGATCATGATCAGAGACACTCAACCTCGCCTAAAGCACTTGGACATTGCATTTGTCACCCCTCTCTGATCCGTATCTTATCTCATCTCATTTACCATCGTAGCATCTTTAGACCTCTCATATTCCATCATCACCACCACCCTCTCTTCCTTTCCCTCCCCTTCTTCCCCTCCTCAACTTCCGCTTCTATCCCCACAACCCTCAAATTATCCTCCACAGTAATCCGCGGCGTCTGTGGCTCCATCGTCGGTTTCACAGCCTCGCCCCTCTTCCTCTCCATTCCCCTTGTACTCTCTTCCACCGTCGCTCCATTTCTCCTCATGCGCGCCTCTTCAATTTTCTTCTCCAAGCCCATCCTCTTTCCAACCAATACCCCTCTTTGCTCTTCTAGATGTGCGATTCGTTCTGGAATTGTTGCTTCGCGAATTTTGCGGACTTGCTGGGAACGTGTTAGTTCGATTTCCTTTATTATTCCCAAATTGAAATGCGAACGATAGATGCAAAAGATGGGGAGTATCAAGTACCTGTTTATGTTCTCCCCGTGTCTTTAGCCCAGCACCATATATTGTGCCAACAACGGTAACCGATGCAATTGCCCCCGTCCATATGATTCTTTTTATTTTGAGGGCCTGTTGTGGTGTTGACATTTTGGTGTGGGATTGGTGGTGAAGGGTAAAAGTGAGGGGTTTCCTATTTCGTCGCAAGATGCGATGTTTTGCTATTGAGGTTGTGTTTATGCCTGTGAGTGTGAATGTGAATGTGAAGCTGTAGAAAATAAATTCGGGCCTTGAACTCCACCGAGGATTCTGGGCTGGATAGTTATGGATAGAAGCTTCGCGCTTCACTCCCGACTAGCCGACATGACAAGAAACACCAAAAAATAAATACGAGTAGATAGGTATCCAAATCCAAATCAAGTCCAAACTCCATTCCAAATTTCATCTACTGATTTTTCTCTCTCTACTTTCTTTTCCAATTCCTTTTCATTTCTCCCTCGAGTATCAGTAAGTGTAACATCTTCTTTTTCTTCTTCTCTTCCTTTTCCTTTTACTTGAACTTTCACATCTAATCTTACATCAACATTTTTCCTTTCCCTCCATCGAATTCCCATTTCCATCTCCATTTCCTCACCAATCAAATTCACTCCCCCCATTCGCGTTTTTACCACGGAGCTCACGGAGCATGAAGCGACATCATTGGTGGGTAGACGTGTACGGTTTGGTGATGAGGGGCAGAAATACCGATAATTTGGTTTGGGGATGAGTAGTAAGCTGCGTGCATGTTGGTTGGATTTGGTCATTTTTCATTTATTATTGATTTCAATAAAAGTAAATGAATGAATGATTGATCATTTTGAAGATATATTTGAATAAATACGGTATTCACTTGGAATTAATTAGAGGATTGCGGCCCAAACTAAATAAGTACCGTAGGTCTTTTCCGCACTGTCGCCAATTGTGTCTACGGAGTGAAGGAGGGGTCATTTTGGGGGTTTAGGAGAAAATGACGTTGGATTTTATGAAAGCAGGGTACCTTGCTGATTTACAGAATTACTGTAATCACTACTTCATTTCAATTCTCACTAACTCCTCCATCATACCCAATCATCCCCCCTCTATCCCTCCATAGAAGGTTTCTACACAGACAAGCAACCAACATCTACTCCCTCCACCACACATCCCCAACATCCCGCTCACACGATGACCACCCCTAGAGTCTTCGTTATCCGTCACGGCGAAACCGAATGGTCTCTTAATGGTCGCCATACAGGAACCACCGAACTCCCACTCACAGCCAATGGAGAAAAAAGAATTCGCGCAACAGGACGAGCATTAATTGGTGATGATCGATTGATTGTTCCTAGAAATTTAGCTCATATGTATGTATATTTCATCTTCTTCCTCGGATCCCAAAAGTTTATCCTTATCAAATAGTCTGCCTCCACGGCAGTGGCCTCCGGAGGGCCAGCGGAGCGACATCCATTGAATGTTTAATTACAGTTGATATTCATGGGGGCAAGCCCCCAAACCCCCATTTGCTCGCTGCGCTCGAATATTTCCCTTTTTGTTCATAGATTTGGGACATCACCCAAAACAAGATAGCCTGCAGTTCTGACAACTACACAGTTATGTATCCCCTCGAAAGCGCGCTCAGAGAACTCTCGAACTTCTTGAAGTAGGATGTGCTGAGAAGCTTCCATGGGAAGAGCAAAGAAAACATGCTGAATCTGGTGAGCACAATCAGGTCCTTTACATCCTCATTTATATCCGACCTTTCCCTAAGCATTTCCCTCCAAAAAAAAAGCAAAGAACCACTCACTAACCCAACACCTAGGAATTCGCACATCAGCCAAAGTAGAAATAACCGAAAACATCCGCGAATGGGACTACGGATCCTACGAAGGCATAACCTCCGCACAAATCCGCTCCGATCGCAAAGCAGCCGGACTCCCCGAATGGGATATCTGGCGCGACGGCTGTCCAGACGGAGAATCCCCCGAACAAGTCACCGAAAGAATCGACGCTCTCATCTCCGACATCCGAACCAAATACCACGGTCCAGTTATTGGGAAGAGTAAAAAAGAGGCGGGGCCAAGTGATGTATTAATCGTAGCTCATGGACATATTCTCCGAGCGTTCGCGATGAGATGGGTAGGTAAGACGTTGATGGATGGACCTACATTTTTGCTTGAGGCGGGGGGTGTAGGAACGCTGAGTTATGAACATAAGAGTTTAGAGGAACCGGCTATTTTACTCGGTGGAGCGTTTATGGTGGATGTGGTGGAGAATTCGGCGAGAGATGAGAGAGGGAGGGTGATTGAGGAGGAGGAGGGGAAATAAGCGAGGAGTGCTCCTTTTTTTATTAGGTTATCAGGGGGGTTAGGAATAGGATAGATGGTTTTAAAGAGGTTAATACATACAGAGAAATATCTCTAGATATACAAATCTCTAAGAAGATAACCAACTAGCAGAACAATATAACATTTTTTGACTCAATAAGATTTACGAAAAATACATGCAAAGATATGATATAAAAAAGATTCCTAGGTCCCCATTACATACATAGTTATGTTATACACACACGGAGTAATTATAATTCCTTATAATTCCTTATATCTATCTCTCGGATTTCTCGATAGCGGTATCTATAGATCTCGATGGATACAATACAATAGTTATATACCGGATTCATTTGGGATGGGTGATGAGTATCTTTATCTTCTCTTCTTGTTTCATCATCAGGGTTTATCGTTTTGCTATGAGTAGGTCATATTGTAAAAAGAAAATTAAAAAAGATCATGTATTTGATATCTAACTAAAATAACTTCTCTTTCTTACTCTCTTCCTTCTTTCATACCTTCCGCCATATAATGCATATACCATAACTCATTTATTATCATGATAAATATTCACGCATGCTCATTCATGGATATGTAAAAACAAACAAACAAGCAAACTATCACTATCCGTCCCATGTTTCCCCTCCATCACTTCATCTCACTAGCCCTCAACATATCAAAAGACTCTCCACTCTCACTACCCTCCTCATCCTTAAAGCCCCCAACAATCCCCTCAACCAAAACACCTCCCTTTCTAAGCTTCTTTCTCCCAACTTCCACTTCCTCAAGCGCCAATTTAGGTCCTTGACCCATTATAAATCTCCTATGCCATTCTCCTACAAACATTCCCTCCGGATCCGCATTATTCCTTATGTTTCTCCATTCCTTCAGATTATCTCCATACATTTCCTCAATATCTGATCCTGTTGTTTCGAAATTCTTAGCCCAATGGGGTTTCCCACCTAATTCCCGCATCAAAAATTCAAACCCTTGATAATATCTCTCGTGACATGGCGGATCCATATCATAAGGACGATAAAGCGTTGCGTTCAAGTAAAGAGTTGCTTCTTCTGTACAAGTAGGATCAAGATGTGGACGAGGAGTAGTACTATTGCTTGTTTCGGTGACGCGAACTTCAACTGGTGCATGAACATAAAGACCATCTGCTGAAACTGGAATACCATGCTCAACGTAATCTGGATCCTCTGGAGTAAGATGATTGAGCCAAGAACTTAATCTTTTGATAGCCTCTGGACCTTTGGAAATTGGAATTGCCCATTCGTTAACGAATTGAGAGTAAAGACAATTCATGAGAAGTGCTTGGCGGGATGGTTGAATAGCAGAACTTTTTGAACCATTTGTAAAACCATATTGCATACCAAAAACGAACCATTCTACCCATGGAAGGATACGTGGAATGCAATGTCCAAGAGCAAGAAGATTATGATAAACGTGATATCCTAACCAAGCATCATAATAAGATTTTGCAGGAGGAACAGGAGCCAAATCAGTCTTTTCAGCCGTCCAAACAACCGCTCTTCTTGTATAAGGAAACCACCAAACTCGAACGAATTCGGTTTGTGTCCAAAGTGTCTTGTTCCAATTATTCATCATTCGGATATCGGTATCAACAGTTTGTTCCCATGAGAGAGTGAAAGCTGGGACTGCTTGAAAAGTAATTTCTGTAATGATACCGATTGCTCCAAGAGAAATGAGAGAAGCGCGAAAGAGTTCTTCATTTTCATTCGGTGAACAGGTTTCCGTTTTACCATCCGAAAGAGTAATCTTCAATTCCAAAATCGAACTTGACAGAATCCCATGTCGTAATGTACTTCCATGAGTACCAGTTGAAATGGCGCCAGCAATCGATTGATGATTGATACTACCCAAATTTGGCATTGCCAAACCCAGAGCATCAAGTTGTTCGCCCACGGAATACAATCGTATACCACTTTGCATAACCACCACTCCCGTCTCCCGATCCGCAGATAAGATTTTATTGAAATTGTCCAGATTAATGAGCCAACTCGATGTGCAAGTGATATTTGAAGGAGAATGACCACATCCTACAGTTGTAATTCTTCTCCTGCATTTTCGAGCGAGATTGACCACTTTTTCTACTTCATCGATAGATTCTGGTTGAATGAATAATTCGGGAGATGAATGAAATGTTCTTGCCCATGTTGATTGTGTATGATTTGTTTTTGCTCGGAATGGGATGTCATCGCCATATCTTTCTAATTCGAATTTGATTGCGGGGTCCATCTTTGCGCCTGGACTTATTTTTCTTTGGATGTGTAAGTAGGTTGTTGTTTTGATGGTGGAAAGTTGATGGAACTTACTATTTAATTTGGGCTGATAATTATTGTACAGCATTCATCTGGGATTGAATCCAGAATGAAGTGAATGAAAACAAAACAAAACAAATAAATCCGCCCTTCGCTTGGGACGAAAGGAAGATTTCATCACATATTTTGTATTCCCTTGAGGGAGGGGTTGATACTTTTTTATTAGGCGGGGTGATGGCTGCAGATGGATGGATGGATGATGAGTGCATTAGAAAATCGAAAATCAAAAATAAAAATAGAACCCGGATACCGACAAGAATGAGATAACAAGGGTAAGAAGATCCCATCCAATCTAAAGTTATATGAAAACTATATCACGAATAGGCATTTTTGAGAATTGATTCTACAATCACATTGTAGAAGTCAGGAGGATGAATATCGGTATGTATCGGAATTCCATCTTTGAGTGAGTGTTAACCTTAATGAGGTCATGGAATATTGGATGGAATATCATAAAAGGTTTGCTATTCGCTCTTTGCTCTTATTACTATCACTCGATCAATTGAATGACGCTCCGCTGGTCCTCCGGGGGCCACTGTCGTGGAGGCAGACTATTTGAAGAGGAAGAGAAATAATCTTACATTTTTATATCTTCAAAAACTCGAGCGCAGCAAGCTATGGGGGTTTGGGGGCTTGCCCCCATTAATAAAATAAGTACTATGTAAATCTACTATTTTGCATCAATTCATTCCCATTTCACTGCTATGCTCCAGTCGCTCTAGTCTAGCTTTTCCCTTCTAGAAAGTTTCTAGAATTTCTAGACTTTTTCTTTCTATTCAAAAAAGAAGATATATTAGCAAGGAATGCCTTGTATATCAACTTCTATTCATATCCTTTCAAATATGCAAGGCGAGCTGTCAATGATGTTCACCACCAGTCAATGAGTGAGGGATCCCATTAATATAACAATGTCATTCAAAATTTCATTGTATCTCGTGAGTCTCATATTCATCATTCAATACACATCAACACATGTGCTATTTGATTCTCAGTATGATCTTCTTTTGCTAGAATGATCTACAATGAAGGATAGGAAGATCCCCCTCTACACGTTCCTCAGATCCCAATCCCTAACTCTCATCTCTTTCTTAAATTCTTTGCATGAATTTCATCTGAACTTTGACCATTTCAGGTCCTCAATGGTCCCTGATAATTGATCAACCTTCATATGCGGAATATCCGAACCCCTCTATTCTGTTCAAATAAGGTAAAAATTTAGATATTGGGTCATTTAAACACACAGGAGAAATTTCTTTTGCATTGTACGACCTCAGGGAAGTGTATTTAGATATTTGGTGACTAGAACTTCAATATCTATCTAGTAGGTATCTATCTACATTTCTCTTCCATGTGTGCATACATACCATACTTACTTACTTCTGTATACATACATCTCTTTCTGTATATACACATACCTTCTACCGACCTGTTTATGATCTAGAATCTCCAAGTTGTCTTCAAGAAGAAATAAAAATGAAATAATGGTTAATATCGTCCTATCGCCTACATTATCAACTGGAATGTCTCCCTCCTCAGCAACCAGCAACTTTTGCGGTCTTCCTCGTCCCTCAATCTCCCACTCTCATTCCAAATCTCACGAACCAATATCAGATGCAAGTTCGACTACCTCCTCCAAATTTCGCAAACAATTAGTAGCAAATGCTCGACCTTTACTTCTCCGACGTCGAGATAGCACAAATACAACCCACAGTATTCCATCGTTAAACAACAAATCCAAGCTCAGTACCAGTACCAGTACCAGTACTTCCTACGAAAATCATACCTCCTCTTCTACCTCACCGATCCCACCATCACGAAACCTAAAATTAAAAAAATCACAACCACCATACACCAATTCGCCCAACTTTTCTCTGCCCCTCAATAATAGCAATAATCCCAAACGAAAATCTACAGAATTTCAATGGGGCGCGCGAAGATCAATTGAGTGTGATTCTCGAATACTTGGGATGAAACACGAAGTATCAGTAGCCACACGACCAATCCCGACCCTGCCGATCCCACTTCAGTCCCCAAAACCCCACCTCTCGCGATTCCAGAAACCATCAAAAGAAATTTTGAGTCCAACGTCGACTTCTACATCTTCACCTCCGTACACCAAGATTTGATAAAATAGGTGTGAGGAGAACGAGCGAGTAATTCGAAACTTCCGAGTTATTCTTCTTATTCTCGAAATACGGAGAGTGTGGAAAATACGGGTAACAATACGGGTATATCAACAACTACATCCACATCCACATCCGCACCGGCGAAACCTCCAAACCTAGTAAGAAGCGAACAACCGACTTTAGATCTGGAAGAAAACTCCAGAGATATCAAAGAAAATTTGGCACCACAAGAACAAATCGATTACACGAGTTCGGCATTGGGAATTAGAATGGCTAGTTCGGTTGGCAGTGAGAGGGGAACACCAGAGGTGATTCCGAGACCAATTGCGCATCCACCAAAAGATGTAGGTTTTTTTTTCTCTTTTGTCTTCCTTTTCCGATTGTGCGATATTCGAATGGATGGTGAGCATCTGCGACACTTAGGGAAATGAATGGGAATGGTGATATGGGGGCAAGTCCCCAAACCCTCTTTGCTCGCTGCGCTCGATGATTTTATATATACTGCTAGTCTGCCTCCACGGCAGTGGCCCCCGGAGGGCCAGCGGAGCGTCATTTACAAGGCTTTCTTTTGAATGATATTTTATTTCAATTGGTTTAAATATCTCCAATTTCCCAACCCGTAAACACAGATCCTACCCCGCAGTCTCCATTTCCCACTCAAATAAATAAAGAACACAATTCTAACATCTTCCTTCATCAAAAAGCTCGAATCAATCGCTCGTATAGATTCCTCCTTAATCTTCGAACACTTCACCACATCCGACGCCTGGGTTCTAGGCTCCGCATTACGAGAACGTCTCCTTCCACATCCCACCCCCGTCGTCATAAGTATCTCCCTCAGTAACGCCAATCAAATCCTTTTCACTGCTGTACGCATAGTGGTACCATGCCGGATAATGATAGTTGGGTCTCGCGAAAACGGAAAACGGTATTGAGATGGGGAGTTAGTACTTGGTATATGTGGTGTAAATTTGAAGGGGATGAGGGGGCTTTCGCGAGGAAATATGGATTGGGGAATGAGTCGGGGGATTATGCTATTCATGGGGGTGGTGTACCCATTAGGGTTACGGGTGTGGAGGGGGTGGTGGCTTGTGTGGTTGTTAGTGGGTTGAAACAGTGGGAGGATCATGGGGTTATTGTGGAGGTTATTAGGGATTTATATTATTGAGGGATTGTATGTGGGAGGGGGGAGTCTACGAGGTTACAATCTTGTGAGAAAGGGTAGGGTTAGCATCTGGTGTTTTTCATATCCATCCACTATTTGCATATAACAAATAGCACAACTGAATGGTTCAGCTTGGAATGGTTGATGGCGGGTTGGGTTGGGTTTGTATTATTTGATATGATATGATACGGTTACTTTGGGTTTGTATTAATTATTTCACTCGCGGTAACAGGCGCATGAAGTTGATAAAAGAAAGAAAGAAAGACGGACAGAAATGGAAGCCAATCAAAGGAAAGGGAAGTCAATGAGGTAATGAATGATTCAGTAGATGGAATCCGGAAAGAGGGTAATATATTTATACAAAGAACTATATATGTATCTCTTCAATGAAAAGTTTTTATATACTTTTTTGATTTATTCTTTTATTATAATATATCTTATTGTAGATAATTAGTCAAAGCCTAACAATTTTAGATTCTTCTATTCCCCTTTAACATATTGCATAAAAGACTCGAAGGATATATATTCCTTAAATCGGCAAATTGCACACAGGGATAGCTAATTACATCCACAAAGCTTCCAACGATGAACGAACCCATGACATTCATTACCCGAGAGACATAAACAATCTTACCCTTTGTATAAATATAAATCGACTTCCATTTACCTACCAACAACGTATTCCTCGCTGATGAGATACGACTAATAATTACTGTAAATGGGTAGCTCAAATATTTTTAAATGTTAGAATTGGAAACGATGGGAAAATTAGTCGTTATGTTGATAAAGTCTGCGGTGAAAGCAGCCTTAACTAGTGCTCGAATTGCTGGTAATGAGTGCACTACTGGAAGTCTCACAAAGAAATATTTAGCTGATATTGTTGTTTTGATGCCATAATAGTAACTGGTCCCTAAGTGCTGTCATTACTAGAGTAATGCAGCGAGATAAATTGGTGGTTGTGATGTGCATAGTCTCTTTGTTAATTTGATATGATGTTTGTTGATAGTGTGATTAGTAAAGTAGTGGAAATTCGAAACTATTAATTTTGTTACTGCGCACGAATATGGGCCGGAGAGAGGAAGACATAGCAGTGGAAGAAATTGTTAAAATTGTCAAATTTTATTGCACAGCTAACTAGCTAAGAGTTTTATGATGAAGGCATGGAGGGCGTGATGAATGCATTTCCCGTCAATTTTCAATGCGGATCTTCTCCCCAAGAATCTATGTATCTAGAAGCAGCCAGTTCTGAGGCCATGCAAACATAATTTAGAGAGGCCAGACATTCATTAATCAATGATTTAGCCAGTGTAATCTCACAGGTAGTCGTAGCACTACACAAAGATATTGCAAATTTCAACATGAAAGAATGAGAGAAAATTTTAGTCGGCGAGGATACTTAGCTAGAACCAAGAGTCAATACAATCTCATATACGTTCCAGACCTTCACACTTCCATCACCAAATATATCCCATTTGGAATATCTTGTACAGTTATCCTATAGTACAATGTTGATTGGTGCTCATAAGCCCGAATATGCGCCCATGGTCTTGCTTTTCTGATCTTTTGAAGGAAAGATGAAGCTATGAAGGTTGGTGAAAGCGGAAGTTAACGATGGATTGGAATGGCAATGAAACTTGACAATCTGTAAAAATATATCCTCCTGAATGTAGGAGCACACAATCTTAAGTGCTTATCATCAATATGTTGTGACCCAAGCCAAACAGCAGCCATGGCAAGCTTACATGTAGAATCGAAAACTCAGATTCCATATTTCCTTGAAGCAGCCGAAACGAATCAAGGGGGGAATAATTCAGCAGGCTGGAGTTTGAGGCTGGAGTTTGTCCGCATAGTTCCGTGTGCAAACTATAGCCTAGAGAAACATTTGAATTGGGACGGCTCTCGAATTATAAAGGGCATTGAAAGGTGACGGACGCTGTCCCAACATCTACAACATCACATCAAATCTAAGGTGAAAGGAGATGCGGAGAATGACTGAGCTAAACCGTTATCTGTCAAGAGAACATTCCTTAGTCAGCCCTAAAAATGTGAAGCAATAGCAGGGTAACATATATTAAGACGATGAAACATCCGACAAAACAGGCAGGCAGAGAAATATGAGGTACAAGAAGCAATGAGCACTTGGCTCGTGTTTAATACATCCTAGTTAAGACGGGAAAGTTTTATTGTACACATTATAGACATTGTAGAGCATGATACGTCGCCTGTACTGTCAACTCGGCAAGATCTGAGAATTTGTGATAGTTTGAAACACCTGTGATGAGAACTATCAATCACACAGTATAAAGAATAATATAAAGCGTATAACTTTAGAACAGGCTATACACAAAAACTTTCAGGAACTGCAATGTCCTAGGGCTTCCGGAACCGATCCTTCAAACGGAACAAGCCCCTAAGCGGAAATATACACCCATCCCAGAATGAGAAGGTGCCACTTGCACATGAAGAAAAGCCGTCGTAAGCTGTACCCGTGATATTGGAAACACGAAGCATAAAGGCCAACTAAATTGAAGGAAAAGTTATTTTGTTGCAAGTCTGATTTTTTGCCCAGCTTTCTGCTTTTCCTTACTTGGTTTGGTTTGTAGTCTGAAATGAGTAATTAGTGGAACTTTGTAACGGGAAGGACGGCATCTGTGTCGGGGAGGACTAATGTAGTGTAGCTTTGTCCTTTTTTACTCTTATTCCCACCACTAAATGTTGGAAATCACAGTGAAAGTGGATGAAGGTTTAGGAGGAGGGAGGAGGAAGAAGGAAGAAGAGAAGTTGATAAGTCGGATGTGAAGGTCGAAAAAATAACTTGGCCTTACTAACCTTAACTACATCACGTGAATACGTGTAATTTTTGTGCACGAACTTTTACTCCTCCGAGGTAATTGGATTTGTACATCTCCTTCCATGAAATTGTCAAACGCGCCGTGAATACCATTAAGAATGAGGTAATTTGTTCTCTACATCATTATAAAAAGAAATATATTTAACGATGACCGCCATTGACTCGGAATACCTTTATTTTTGCCCATTTTGACTGCTACCTTCATTGCAAGAGATGGCCATACGTCTCGCATATCTCCGCGTATCAACGCGCCACAATAAACCTTCCGCAGATTGTCAAAATGACTGAATTAGATCACAAAGCCCAGTCAGAAGCTTTAAGTCCTCCAAAACCAGCGCAGCCAATAACGGCGGATCAGTTACTAGAACTGGAAGAGCGACAACGGGCAAGGTGTAATGGGACAAATGGTGAACCGAGACGAATCAAGACGGGGTGTCTAGAAATTGATGATTACGTTCTTTGTGCCAGTAAAAATGAATTGAATCCGGGGTTTGAAAGAGGTATTGTGGTAGGCTTGAGTGCTGCTGATGGAGATGAATCCGTAGGTAGTAGATTGGTAAGTTTCTACAACATTGTGTATCCAATCCTGCATGAACTAGATAACTGATACGATGTTAGATATCTCTCAATCTTATAGCCACAGTTCTCCTTCAACATGTTGAAATGGTAAATGCCACTCAGAACCCTCAAATTAAATCAAGAAATGCGTCAAAGCCAAAGGTCGTAGTGATCGATACAACCGGTTCCTTCAATCTTCCTCTCCTAGTCAAGGTGTTGAGATCAGGACTTCTTAAAATGAGACATGAGACGAGAAGTATGAACGATACAAGGATGAATCATGGGAATAGTCACAATTCAGAAGCAGATACCGAAATTGAGATACAAAAAGAGGTGTATACAATGTTGGAGCTGGTTGCAATTAGTAGAGTCTTTGATATTGAGGGATTATGGGAGGCATTAAGTGAAATAGGACGAACAGATGGCCAACTCAGTAAGGATGAGGAACAGGAAAACTTTAATAAAAATCCATCGCCGAAAGCCAAACGTGCTGAAAAGCAAGCAGAACCCCCACTGTACAAAATACCAGATGAAATTGGCGATAGCGAAGAAGAAGACGTTGAAATGACCCCGCCACTAGTCCAACCCACAACATCGAACACAAGCGAGGCAGAAATTGGTCCCGAAATACTAGTCATTGACAACATGCACTACCTAATATCCCACCTCTTCACGCACTCCGAAAAATCCTCAGCACACAATCTCCTCTCCCTACTATCACGGACCCTACACACATTAACTCATACCCAAAATATCCTCACCATCCTCCACAACACCACCATTTCCACCAAAATCAACTACACAAAACCCGGTGCTCGTCAAGCTCCTCCAGCTATCCAATCTATAATCACTTCCGTGGCCCAAAAACCTTCACTAGGAAGAATCTTTGATGATTTCCTAGATCTACATATCATGATCTCCAAAATACCAAAGAGGAGAGCAGATGCCGAGATTCTCTATGGTCAGGATGAGAAATTTTCGGAGGAAGTTAATTATTGTTTTGTTTTTGAGGTATTGAGGGATGAATGTCCTATTCTGGGTGGAGATAGAGGTTTGGGAAGGAAGTTTGGAGATAGAGAACAGAGATGGGGACTCTTTGAGATCGGGAATGAGGGGATGGAGTTGGTTGATGCTTTCAGGGGTGGCGAGGAGATGGTGATGGGATGACGGGAGACGTTGTGGCATGATCGGATGATGGATAAATTTATGAACTTGGGGAAAGATAAGATGGTATAAATGCTGAGTGAAGCACGTATGATTGCAATTTTAAGGAGAAGAATGGGATCTAGAAGAGACTTCTCCCTCATCACCATCAGTACAACAGTACTCGCAAGTTGCGATTGCATTATGCCGGGTAGTATCATACATTTACTACGTACTTGATAATACCTGCGAACTAGGTACTGTGTTATGAGATGAGATGAGATGAAATGGATTTATATTCTCCATGTTCGTACCTATAAAATGGAGGCAGAGAAACTCGCTTCCATGTTGAACCTCAAATATAAAGACTATTTACCAACATCATCCAACAATAGATGTTATTGATCATCAAACCAAAAGCCTTCTCTACACCATATACCAAATCCCAGCACTTAAAAACCAAAATTCATCCTGTTACATCCTTAACAAAACACACACCCCCATGATTCTACCCTTTTATGAGGAGCTAGCGCAAATGGCAGAGTGAGTGGAACGGCGGGTTCATACGTACCATACATTATATCCTATCTTTTATCCTCTTCCACTTCCTCAAATATCGCTGACCAGTAACCCACAGTACTCAAGAAACCATTATAATCTATTTTCCACTCCCCATTATGCAATCAAAAACGATTAAGCACTAGAACGCTACTGAAGAAACTTCAACTCAACTCTCATTTCATCATCAATCTTGTGGGAAGAAACCAAGAAAGGAAAACAGAGAATTGCAATATATCCGCGAAATGTGAACCGGGAAGATGAGGAGAAGGTACTCTTATAGAACTCCAAGTTCTGTCCATTGGTTATGACTAAGCATATTATTATGAATATATGCATTGGAGGAAAGATCAAAATGGGAAATGGGATGAAAAGTTAGAGGTATTCTTAAAAGTTTATCAATTGGATATGTTTTTTGTGGTGGACATGTCGGACACTGTGGAAAAGATTCAAATCGAGCCTCGTGGGTGGAGAGGAGAGCGCCTAAAACCTAGGAGAAATAAAGAAGATTGCGAGAGGAAATAAAAAGTGTTAGGGGCATAATCACACAAACATGACCCCGACTACCATGTCCAGTGGTATTGGTAGTATTATTAAATTCCTAGGTCTTTCGTAGGCCCAAGAAACCAAATGACTCCATTTGTTCGTAAATCTCCAAGTTATGAAACTTAGCAGAATGCAATTACATATGCACACACATTTCGCATCTTATTGCACTGAGATGCATGTCCTTCCTGACCATCGCTTTTTGTACCATTCTTGTCATTGTGAAGCTATTGACCAAGATCACGCAGAAAGCCCATATTTGCTCGACCATGCTTGATTGAAAACCTCCCGAAATATTCGAAGATTATTCGTTCATTTCTTTAACAACAACCCAGTCCATTCCATTGCACCCCCACAACCACAAACCACAAATTTAACGGCTAGTGTTCATTGGCTTTGGTGCCTTACCCTTGGAACCTTGCTTGCTGACTTTCGATTGGGTGGAAACATTGGTCTTTGCCTTTGCGGCCTTCTTGACGGCTTGCTCTGCGGCACGCTTCTCCTTGGCTGCCTTGATAGCGGATTCACGAGCAGCGGATCTGGCTTCTGGTCTTTGACTTCTTCGCTCCTTGATGACTTCGAGGGAAGCACCAACAATACCTCTTTGGGACTTGACGGTCTTGCGGGAACGCTTCTTGGCAACCTCCTATATGTTGAGAACTTCGTTAGTATTTTTGGCCTTCCGAAAATTCCCGTGATGTCATTTATCCCATCTCGATGCGGATTGACTTGCGAAATAAATTGATATCGTACCTCAGAGATACCCTTCTTGTGTTGTCTTCTGAAGAGAACGGTCCATGCAATTCGGCGAGGGTTCTTGCGTTGCAAGAACAACGATTCAGATTTACCGTTTTGGAAACGGAAGATCTTGGAGTCTCCACGAACGTAGAGCTTGCCCTATATAATTGACAAACATAATCAGCATTGAGTTCCCCAATTCCCAACCCTTATGCGCTCTTGAAGTCATTCTGAAATCTGCGCCTCCGTGATCCATCCATCTTCTCCCTTCCTCCTCAATTCCTGACATCCACCGCCACACCGTAATCATTGAGGAGTAACACTCGTACCTTTCCAGGGTAGATCTTAGCTCCGGAGAAAGAATCTTCGTAAGTACGCATGATGTCGACGGTGTAAGTTGTCGGTTGTCGTGGTTTGTCGTGCGATGGTTGTTTCCTGCGGAGTCGTGGGCAGGTTCGAGATATTGCCAAACACCGATTTCGTTAGGCTCTTAATTTTTTTGGTTTGCGATTTGCGTGCGAGCGCTAAAGTCTCGCTAAATTGGCCCTAGTTGAATTATCTTGAGCCTTGTCAATAACCTTGTCAGCCTTGTCAGCCTTGTAAGCTTCTCGTACTATTAGGATGATAATCGACCTTTTGTAGAGTTGGTTACAATATGAAGGAGCAAAGATAAGAATTTAGGACGCTTATAATGTTTTAATTTTCGTGAAATGTCTTATTGGCTTCAGAATGGTGTAAAAATCTGAACCTTGGAATGATGACCACGTGATCTACCCCCATCGCTTGCATCCTATTCCTCACTTCTCGTCTTGGAAACATGGACCTTTGCTCTCAACACCTGCAAGTTCGTTATAAGCAGTAATAACCATGACGCCTGTCAAGGTATCATTCAGTCCAGAATCGTATCCCCTTGGATGTCCACAAATACTGGAAGAAATCGGTCATGATAATGGTCATACTTGGACTTGGACGCCTTTACTTCAGCATAAATGTTCATTTCCACCAGAGATCTTTTCGCAGGTTATGCTGAATTTGATTCGAAATCCAAACATTAACTCTAACCATTTATTTCGAGCCGATATATCTTTGGAACAGCAATTTGATGAGAATTTTCAAAATGATCCCACGATTCCTGCGAGGATCATTCATTTTCACAGCTACACTTTACAAAAAGTTATGGTAAGAACCATGATACCTAGAAATATTCTAAAAGATAGGCCACTCGATCAAACGTGTCTTTTTTATACGCAAACTACCGATGCTGGAGAACTTCAATCTTTAGTCATTTATCTCCCTCATATGTCATCACCTGATGAATCACCATTTTATCATCCCAAGGTTCACGGAATCGCCTTCCAGCATACTTTTAACCCTGGGACGCAAGATGGAAAGATTGCAATACACTATTCATTTTTCGACTCCGAACCTCGCAGTCAGATACTTGAAAGAACCGCTGGGCATCTTCTGGCTGCTCTGTATAAGCATGGACAAGGAACTGCCGCAGGATATGTCAAGAAAGTTCATCATGATACTATCATACCTCAAGCTACTGTTCAGAATACATATGCTCGTCTCAAGGCCAAATATGCAAAGACTCTGATTGACAATTGGGGTGAAGTCACAGACCCTGAAAAGCATGTTTTCGAAGACCTGAACATCGCAGCATTCCTCATTGAACTTTGGGCCGATACTTATAAAGATATAGAGTTTCCAGGTTATGTTGATATTGGCTGTGGAAATGGATTGCTCGTTCATATTTTATCAGAGGAAGGTTATACAGGATGGGGATTTGATGCTAGAGAACGAAAATCTTGGAGTGTTTTCGGGCCAAAAACACGAGAAAAATTACAAGAACTTGTCTTAATACCTTCAATTCTATATTCAGAGTCAAATGAAAATCAAACCTCGGGGCCTAATATTCATGATGGGACGTTTCCTAAGGGAACATTCATTATTTCAAATCACGCCGATGAGCTGACTCCATGGACACCTATCCTTGCGAGTATCTCCCGATCTCCATTTATGATGATTCCATGTTGTAGTCATGCTCTCAGTGGTGCAAGATATAGAGCACCGCCTCCCAAAGGATCCGAAGGTACCCCATCGGCTTACGCTTCTCTTGTCGCATGGGTTGTGGGGCTTGCTGAGGGATGTGGATGGGAAGTAGAGAAGGAATGGCTACGAATACCTAGTACGAGAAATGCAGCTTTGATTGGAAGGAGAAGAAAATTAGATTATGGAGAGATTGATGCACGAGAATTTGTGGATGCAAATGGTGGAGCTGCAGGTTGGAAGGAGAATGCAATGAAGTTGGTGACTGGGAAAGCAAAAAATCATTGATGGATTCGTGTCCAAGGCTCACGCTGTTATCAATTCTACCAGCCAGTACATCATCACGTGCGAAATTCTTTTTCCAATCACAAAGTGCCAGAGAGAGATACATTGTCTATCTGCGAGCCAATTTTCCACAGCCCAAAATTTCATGGCCCGATTTCGGAATGCTGAGAAATACCCAGTTATCTGTGAAACCTTTCCGCCAACAAGGAAACGCTATTGGATGAGCTACTTATATATGAAATCATTTCCTCTTTCTCGGAAATGCCGTGAGGTGCACCATTTGAAGCCATTTCCACATCCTCGAAAGATCCATGGGAGACGTCTCTATTTGCAACCCACCCAGAACCAGGAAATATCATAAAATACACCGCCTCCGTCAGTGCAAATAAGTGGTCGTCAATTTACCATTACATTTTCCCATTATAAGTCGAATCTTCAAGCTTAAGCACCTCAGAACTTTCCAAATTCTTTTTCAATCCTTTCTAAATCTGATACCTTATTCTGCGTTTGTTGCCGCAAACATATTTTGTATAAATAGCCCTATGACCTTATCCTTCTTCAAGGTATTTAACCATTCTCGGCTAGGTAATTGGCATCCATATCGAAATATTATTCCCGCCCACTTTTACATCGATGCATAGATGTGTAAGTCGCCCGCGGGTGTACATGTGAAACCCTTTCTCAAATTCACAAATACATGAGATACACCATGTGCATACAAGGGCACTTCCCTCGAAGCGAAGATGTCGCAGGCAAAACAGGAGAAGATGGAAAGATATATCAATTGGGAGCTCCCATCCACTTTGTATACCATCCTGACCTAAAGGCCAAGAGCCAAAAGCCGATAGTACTACAACTGTAAGCTATTACTTCATGACTTCTTACCTTTTACATTCAAGAGGTCCAAGACACTGAACTGCTGTCCAGTTCGAGCAAATTCTCGTACCCAGGAGAGTGTCTATTGTTAAGATTCGAATATTTCGTTAGATTTATGGTTTCCAACCAGTTCATTACTTCTTTTGAAGTCAATCGTTGAAATGATTTGAGTTTCGCATCACTCCCATATTTCTAATTGGTCAAGCGATTAGCTGAACATCTTTCAAATAGCTTCACTCCTTTCCAATTGTTTCAATCCTCAAAGTCTCCTTACTCCTGAATGCTATGAATAGCCCGTTCTAGCTTTAAACTAAGTACAGCCTCAATCATTGTTGAAATAAAAAAAGAACTCGAAACCTCCAACACTGACAGGGTGGATTACTGATTCCAATATGGAAACAGAGAGTAGAAATTAGTCTGCTGCCATTTTCGAAATAACCATCATATATGGCATTAAAGCCACCGAGTGATGATGATGATAGTGTTTATTTGTCCATCTGATCCGAGACATCGGAACAGTATTCAGATTGAGAAAAAGGCTCAATTATTCCTTTTCTCCGCAACCATTGCTGTTTGATTCAATATTGACATTAGTGTCGATCATTCCACTGGTATTCGATAGAGTTGCTAGATCTAATTAGATTACACACACATACACATAGCGAACTGCAAGTTCGAAAGAAGTTCCAGGCACCACTGCATTAAATATATTGGTTGACATATGAGTGAGGAGTATAAAAGAAGAGTTGATGGTAAAATTTGGGAAGACGCTCGGAAGGAACTCGGAAGCTGTGAAATAAATTAGAGCAATGGAGAATGGATAGCCAAATCGGACTGAGAGAGGAAAAACCCTTGCATGCCGGCCAGTGCCCGTTCATTTCAATGTCTTTGTGAAGCTACAGCTAGGAAGAAAGCATGGAAGAGAACAGCCTGTGCCATATTTGTTGGATATTCACCAAGAGAAATCAGGAATAGATGGCGGGGTAAAGAGAAAGAAAAAACGACGTATAACATCTCTTTCCGCAGTTGTCCAATGATACGTTGTAGAAGAAAGAGAAGGGTAGAAAATGATAGAGAGGAAAGAGCAATATATTGCGTATATCATCTACATATATCCGATTACGCACAGTGAGTCACAATAGAAATGATACTTCTGAATGTCTTTTCGTTTTCCTCCTTTGTGACGGAATTATCATCACCATACCAATCTACAGGATGAGACATGATTAGTAAATAGAGCTAAAGAATAGAAAATAGAAGAAGAGAAAGAGATATTGTATCGACGAGATGCAGGTATCCGATTCGTTACTCAATGATGATAGTAATGAGATCCATATTCTTTTCTTTGACTTTTTTATAAGACCTTACATATACCACTATGATATCCCCATTATCTTATCAACTCAACATTTATCCTGCAATTCCCTCCCTCATCCTATCAAACTTCAAGGGCTTAGACCCGAGGCCCAAAACTAAAATGTCACCCCTTTCCCACCACCTATTCCACACCCATAATCCGGAACTATCTCATCCGCCATTCTCACGAAATCCACGTCCCTCGTAACCTCCTTCTCTCTACTCCTGGGCCTCAATGGTCTAAACAAGACCTACCAATCACATTCCATAGATACTCAGATCAAGAAGTCACGGGACGATATGAAGAAGATGAGTAAGATGATGGAGTTGATAAAGGTGTATGTATGGACTCATGATGGAACTAAAAAATGGGCATAAAGTTGAGCTTGGGTTTTATGAAGGAGAAATCAAGAGAATTATGTGTTTTGGGACGAAGGGAGATCACCGAGCGGAAGGGGTGAGATTTGAAGCTGGAGAATTGGGAGAGAAAGGAGATATGGGATAAGACAAAAAAAGGGGGAAATACGACTTGGCGGGAGATGGTGGGAGAACTGAGAGATAGTGGGAGAGGGAGAAAGGGCGGAGAAAGGATGGAAGGAAAAGCGCATGTGGAAGAAGGTTTAGCAGGCATGGAAGATATTGTAGGCATGAGGGCAATATGTGAAAGCGATGGTCCTAGTCAAACTGAGTGGAAAAGCACGGAACTTGCGGGAAATATAGAGGCTTGGGGTGGATCCGAGGTTGTCGGGAAAGTGAGTGGCAATCAGGAGGATACGAAAAGAGAAACGGAAAACGGTGGTAGTAAAAAGAATGCAGACGTTGATGATCTGAACTAGTCCCTAAAGGAACGGTCAGGATGAGGTGGGTATCATTGAGCCAACCGTTGGCCGGCGCATAATCGTCTTCTAAGAACGAAAACATGATTTCAATCGTAGTGCGGGTAGTTTCCGATGTAATGTCAAACCCAAATAATGTTGTGAACGCCCAGCGCATAAAATGTAATCCCGTGCCTTTGCATTATTCTATCAGCATGAATTGCAGAAAGAAATGCTACTTCATTTGTGAAAACACGATATAGTGGAGATAACCCAATACTTTTTAGGAAATACTGAAGGCTGTGAAATTGTGAAGCATCACCTGTTCAGGATTACAAACTTGTCTAAATCGTCGAGCCATTGACCGGGAGAAGAATTAGAACTCTTCCATCTCCCGATTGAACACACCAGAAGCTGAATGCTTTTGATCAATACGAATGATATTGTCATATAGAAGGACTTGACGTGTAGTATGATTTTGTACAGATAAGTAACCTTCTGACCACCTGAAATTTTTATATTCGAGCAGCGAATGCCGTGACATAGCCAGAAAGAAGAATATGATCGTTCTCGTATCAATGCCGTCACCGGTTCTTTAATATCATTCCTAATTTACTTTGCCTTGGGTACGGGAAATTTATTCGACCTTGTCCTCAAAGTTCTCTCCTTCGACCAAATCTGGGATATCGTCATCATCCTCCTCATCATCCTTCTTCTCCTCACCACCTTCTGCCTTTTGCATCGATTGGTAGCTCTCGGCAAGCTTGCGGAGGGAAGCAAGGGAATCTGGGCCGAGTTGGTTAAGGATACCTGGGACAAGCTCGGTGAGCTCTTTGTCTTCACCGTTACCGTAGATGGCGAAGGTGTTGGATGGAACAGCAGCGTGGACTATTGATGAGAAGGTTAGTGTAACGTCCAGTAGCTCGTATTGTGAGGTCAAAGTACCCTTTGGTGCTGCGAAGTGGATAACATTTCCGTCAGACTTGAACATGTTTACTTCTTCAATAGCTTGGATTGGTTGGACATTAAGCTTCTTAAGGGAGGTCTGTAACTTTTTGTCGTCCATTCCAGTGCTCTTATGAACATTCTTGACCTTTCTTCTTGGAGTACCCTTTCCACTGTTGTATCGTTAGCATACCGTTGCTACCCCGCTATGCGCTTCTTTCAGATCATAAACTTCGAGATCGTGCTCGCGGATGATGAATTGCAGATGAGGATGAGGGATTCTGTCACATACCCTTGGGCCACATGTTAGCTTTTAATAGTCCAGATATCGCAAAAGGAAAAAAAGGCATGGCGCGGCCATCCAGCCCCTCCACCTTCCAAAACGTCCCATGTGAAGCTGTTCAACTCTCCTGCCATTCGCATAATCTACTGTGTTCGCTGCAATTTGACTCACCAGTTCTAACACCACCTCTGGCCTGCATTCTCTTCAACTTTTCCATATCCATGATTGCTATAGTTTGACCTTCGTCGAGAAGTGAGGGGAAGTATTAAATGAGGAAGGATTGGAAGTTGTTCTATAGGATGTGAAAATCGTCAGCCAACAATTCCATGTATCTATCTAGTAGAAAATTCCGTAGCGCCTGTGTATTTTTCGATGTTATACGTACAGTTGTGAAGATTTGACTTTCCTATGTAATCAACTCGTCGTCGTGTGTTTGAAGGACCTCATCGCTCATTGTGTGTGCCAAGAATTTCCATTTTTAAGCGAGGATTTTCTGTGGGGAAAATCTACAGCCTCGTCAAGCAGCGACAAAAAAGTGTTTGGTCATGATCGTGATCAATCATACTTGTAGTTAGTAACAATATAGCAATAACTGAACAACTAAACAACAATGGCCATGACAACTTTCATACCGCATGGCAAAGAGCTGGTACATGGGTGAAAAGTTGAGCAGAAAGACAAATTCGTCGCCTCGAATCACCACATAGAGTTATCACGACTTCCTCATCCCCCCTCCTCCACTTTAGTCCATGGCTAGTCTACCTAGGTAGGCATACTATCATCTAAAATTTAATGGACAGGCAGCTTCTTATGTTTAGAGGCAAGAATAGCCATATGGCGGTCCTCGAAAGGATGAATTGTCGCTCCATATCCCTAAAATCGTTGGCGGAGATCAATGTCGGTGATATGATTCCTCAAAGGTAATTTTCCTTACTCCGTCCTTGTTCCCTTTGGATCTTTGATACATCTTGCATATACCAATCCACTTAGAGACAGCCTGCGGAAGGAAATGCATTATACTGTTCTATCATGGATTATGAGGACAGTTAGCATCTGGGGATACAATGTGTTATCGCGTGAAAATGTTTCCAAAACATTCACGTGTGAAACTTTGCCCATCACATCAAGCTTGACGGCCACGGTATTGACACCTTTGTTGGTTCCCTTGATCCCGTCTTTGCGGTAAATGTCCTTGAAGGTGGTCATGGTGTCAGCAGGCTTGATTTCGGCTTTTTAGGAGCTCTTGCTTACAGATGTATGTCATTGGCATATCGAAAAAAAAACTGTCTCAGCTAGATACACTGTACGACGGCGACTCTGGTGAGGACCGGAAAGCTGCTGAACTGGAAGCCCATGCTATCGCTTTCAGAGATAACATTCGGGATGATGCTATCTCCTTATGTCTGCCTCAGCTGAAAGAGGCCTTTCGCAGTCGTTCATAATACATAATAAGTAGTATTCGCTTTTAACGTACTTTTGGAAATCCTTTTCGATGAGCCCAGTGCTATTGCTATTCTTATGGGGTAATGGTTTCATTGAATAATGACTGCCTTGGTGCTTTCGACCAGCCGAGCATGCTATGAAGGTCAAAATGTGCGTCTTGACCGAGACCGACGAAAAGTTATAGCTTCGCGATGCATTACTGGATCGAAAGGGAAAATCACATCTTTGCCAGAATCATCCTCATTCACACTTCGCCTGGCTCGGTATCAGGATGGTATATGGATAATATAGACTATATAATTCAAGGCGAATCGTGCGATTTTAAATTGTAGACAATTGCAGAAATTTAGCATCTCGACAAGGGAAAGAATAAAAGGGGATTTGGCCAGATTTTGGTCCGCCTGGAGCAGGCAGTATGGTGCGCACCATTAAACGTGAAGATTATGGTATATGGACTGCAGTCAGGTGATATGATGCTCATGATGTCTGAAGCTATTCATGCTCCGATGACTCCTTTACCTTGCTCACTGTTCAAAATCACTCGTCCTTGAACGCACAAAGTCCATTGTCGGGATTCAGCAGCCTCGAGAAGTTACTGTAAAGCTCCAGGTAAGACCTTACCTGTTGAAATGCACAACGGAAGCTTAATCCTAAGTATACTCGATCAAATGTCGTTACAACGTGGCTATCTCAGATGAACTTAATCGCTGCAATCAATTCGTTGCTGTCAGTGCCACGAATTAAATGTTTCACGTGCTTTGGAGCATCGGTAACCCATGCTGTAAAGTTTGCCCACAGTACTCGAGCACGAAACCATCGAAATGATTTTTGTCACTCTACATCCAACATCCAACATCCAACTACCTGACGCCGAATTTTCTCGAATCTACAACCATGGAGACTGATCCAGAAATTGTTCAACAGATTAAGTCACTTCATGCAGATCTTGCACGAAAATATGAATTACATGGTTCCAAAATTGATCAGATCTGGCGAGGTTTCAGCCAAAATCAGCGAGCGGAGGCTTTCAAGGCTGGCGTCGCAGAAAACGCGTATTTGAAACATTCAAGAGATCAGCCGCTAGGCAACCCTTGGAAGGTGGTTTCCGAGTTAAATCTTGATGACATGGTGACAGAGCCTGACTTTCTACTTGATCATTTAAGACACCGCGCGACAACATCACTTCTAGACCAGTACAGAGAGGGTGTTCGTGATGGACCCGGAGATTGCATATTTATCTTGGAGAGTATGCGCGACAACAACCTTCGTCATGTAGATGATTTTAAATATTGCTACACCCGTTTTGACAACGAGGATACTTATGGCCGATCAATCAGATCAACAACAGCTGCTCACCATCGCGACTTTACAACCGAGCTCGCAATTGCTTTTCAAAGCAGAGCTATTATTCCACAGGAAGTTGGAGAATTGGTTCTCACTAGACAGCTGTATATCCTTTTACAGCTGAACTTATTAGTCGCGGACATTCTAGAAATTGGATCTACTACCAAATCTACGAAGCCCCGACCACGAAAGGCAGAAGAGGCAGCTGTTTCCGCTCTTTCAAAACTTTCTGTTGTTCACAACCAGGAAAGTCTTTCGTTAGACGACATGATCAACAGCTCCTTCGATCAGAAAACCGCTATGAACGATTATTTGGTTTTGTGTTGCTCTGAATCAGTTGTTCTACACCACATGGTCAATGCTTGGTTCTTCAGTCGACCGGAATTTGTACCCGATGAGAAGGGACGGATCGTCCCCGTACCAAGCGATAAGCATATTAGTATATCAATTTTTGAATTGATACATAATGCTGCTACTGGAGTTGCAAACTGGGATTACATGCATCGCCTTCTTCAACTTCTCTCAGAGAGGCCCAATGATAAAGTTGCAAACACTATTTTGCTTCAGGAGATATCAAACGTAGCTCATCTCGAATTCTCGCGGGTCCAGAAAGTCTTCAAACGCTACGTAGCCTTAGGGACAGGTTCAAAGTACTTCAGACGCGTTTCAGGGAAATATGACAATGGGTTTGCGCGTGTATTGCTCAAGCAAGATCCAGAGCTTCTGACTAGGGAGAATCCACAACTTTCTTATATCTTTCGCCTCTGTTCCTCTGAGATTGATGCCGCTAAATCAGTTACTTGGATCAAGAAATTAGACGACCTCTATCGTCTCCACCCCGCCGAGCGATCAGAAGTTCACGATGGAATTTTGGACGCATTCGGTGAGCTGGCAGTTATCGCCAGTTTTGTTCAAGCCCTTTCTGCTACCGTTACTCTGCCACCAAGAAACCCTAGGAGGGGACAGTTGTATGCGTCAAGGCTCAACAACTTACTAGGCGAGCTTGAGTCACTAAAGTATGAGGTCGAACTTTCGAGGTTTGCGGTACCTATGGAAAACCTCCTTGAGCCGGGCATGACCGAAGGAGCTATTGATGCTCTAGATCAACTTACGGCAAGAAGAATGGGCACAAACACTGGGTTTCTGTACCAAGATCTTGTAGCAGATTGTGTGACGCAAATCCAAACTCATTACGAACAGCAGAAGGACAGAGTTGCACAGATCGGGAAGAAGCCTCCTAAGACCTTCGAGGACCCGACCCATGAGGCCTCGGCACCAGATATACTCATACAACGACGAAAAGAAAAGCACAAGGCTCGGCCCGCAGATGTCTCTCCTTACGATATAACTCGAGATACAGCAAAGTCCACACAAGTGGAAGCGTCCGAGTCGCCTTTGGTATTCAAAGTCAACAAAAATACGTCACAGGTCTTCTCCACTATGTTCGCAAAGTCTGAAGCTCGAGGTTCCGTCAATTGGAGCGCGTTCGAAGCTGCAATGGTTGATTTGAAATTCTCTGTAATGCCAAAATTCGGATCTGTATACACCTTCTCTCCAGGAGAGAATGTGGGTGCTGAGAAGTCTATTACGTTCCATCGGCCCCATAAGTCGGAGATTGAGGGATGGAAGTTGATTATGTTTGCTAGTCGACTGAGGAGGGTCTACGGATGGAACGAAGGATCTTTTGAGTTGGCTTGACGTTGGCCAATGGTTTTTATGGCATTGCAAAGAGGAGACCTTGGACGAAGATTATGGTATCATTGACAGAGCTAAATTCGATTCTAGTGTGTAATAGCAACTAATACAGTGGCTATTGCCAAAATCCTAATATATATTAAGCATAGGCATGTGTGGCTCTAAGTTTGGGAGATCGTGCTACCCTAATGCGCCGGCGGGGTAAAACGGGGCCATGAGAGTTCTTTGAGTGATCAATAGAAGATCTATCTGTCCTGATAGAGGATATGAGATGTTCGAGGTTCGAGGTTCGAGGCTCGTGTCCACCATTTTCTATCTCATAGCTAATTACAAGGCCATTGAGCCAGAGTAAATGAAGTAATTAGTGTTGGCTACGCTATCAAATTGAATGATTGAAGTGAAATCGCTTAGAAATTGGTGGCCTTTTGTTAGGGGCTCGGGACATTCAGCTAACTAATGCTGTAGGAGTATATTGATTAAGAGTAAGAAACAGCATGAAGCTTGACGTCATACTTTATGTGTTTATAATATTTTAAGTTTTCACTTATTAAGTTACCTTAGAGTAGTCCCCAGGAAAGGGCTTCAGTGGATAAAGTCATATCATGTCAGTTAGGGGTTTCGGTCCCGAAAGATAGCTCCGCCGCCAAACTTTACTTATCTACTTTGGTCATCTTTTCTCCAAGGAGAACAGGTATCAGCCATCATCAAGCATTTGAGTTTTCTTTATTTGATTATCTCAAAAAAAGCTGTCAAGGATTTCACAAACTCGAGATGCGGCCGCCGGCTATTTCAATGGGGAAATCAATTGTAAAGGGGTCATTACTATGATATCAGTTCATCATATTGAGTATTCAGTATTCAGATGATAGAATGCAAGTTGTTGAGATCGAGTCTTCACACCGTTTATATTTGTGCTTGTGGAATGCAGTGTGGACTTGAAATGCGAAACACCGGGACACCTTGATCTGAGGCTTGACTTGCAACCAACCTATTATTTATCGATTAGATCTTACCGACTTCAAAATTAAAACAGCGATATTCTATTCGCACTTTTTAATGGTCAATCGATCTGTGATGGTAAGACTCGATGAAACTCCACATGAGAGTAGGACTTACCGACCTCAAGGTCATGATTGTAGTGAGGAATTCATGAAATCACCGTCATTAATTGATGATAATGGCTGCAGTCAAGAACTCATGGAAAGCTTTCACCGCAGCGGGTAGATGTAAAATCTAGCTTTGGAATGATGATTGAGGATCAGCACATAAAACAATTTCAAATGTAGTAAAACTTACCATTAAAGAAGCTAAGAGCTTACTTGGCTCTCAACGTGGAGGATTATGGCTCGATTATTGTGAAAGGTGGTCCATTATAGTGGTAAAGGCGCATTGCCTAATAATCACCAGAATGTGAGAAGAAATAATGCCACAGAAGAAGAGGAGGAGGAAATGCCTAGAGGTGAGGCAAATTCAAATTTTGAGGCATTTTGGGGAGAGGTGAGAACGGAATTCTTTGGTTTTGGAAATAATCTGGAATTGTGGAAAGAATGAAATCGCAGTCTATTTAGGAAAAGTAGAGGAAAGCAAGCGAGGTATAAGCCAAGGGCAAGGGCAAGACCAATTCTTCTATTCTAGCTCACATTCGGCTTGTAGTGCCGGAAATTGGTTCAATGATCAATCTCTCTTCGGGTTGCCCGCCAAAGATAGGATGTGTGAGGCATGTCTCCCTGAAGCTTTGCAATCCATATTCGCTCCCATCTGATTTTGTTATGGGTCATACTTGATTAGCTCTAGCCATTGTCCATCTACCCTTCATTCTTTGATGTTGTAGCTCTCAAAGTTACTCCCACTGAATTTGCGCAGTGTTTCGCCCCATCAAAGACCATCAACAACAATGAAAAGCACTGCAAAAGAAAATAATTCATCTCGAGTCACAGCTCAAATTTCGACTTGTGCTAAATATTTGCGCACTCTCGGTGGAGATGCTGTGCCATTTCAAATTGGCTAGTCTCATAATGAGAGATCATACATGAGCTATTGTCTATATCAATTGCAAGCCATACCTTCACCAATCACGAACAAAATTTTCACAACTAGCACATGCCATGATCTGTGAGTCCCAAAAATTCACCAATCCTCAACTCTAATTTTACTAGTCTAATGTTTTGAGACTGGCATAACACCTCCATGATTATTTAAAAAAAAACGTGAATGTGGTATTTGCTCGTTGAATTGTTGAATGGGCAAGCAAAAGCCTAATAGATTTCCCTGTTCTTGATACATCATTCCTTCTGCTCCCAAATTGACCCACAAATATAGCTTTCCATCAAGCTTTCCACCATCAAACAGTCTAGCCTTCCATTAATTCTTCCAGCAGATTCCGTTGTCCTTTAACGCCCCATGCCTAGCAACACAGCAGTCTTTTTCAGCTTCCTATTAAGTATTACCTTCCGGACTTGTATCAGTCAATCCCCAATCAGCGAACGTCCGAAAAGGATCAGTGACTGGCACAGTCTGAGAAACTATGCCGTCACCTCTTTACATTACTCTATTAAAGAATGAATCTAATTTGTCACGAAGGGCTTACTTCCTCAAAAAACGCAGCTGATGATATACACAATCTAAATGAGGCACTTCAGCGCTCATTTCCTCCATTCCCAAGATTAATTTGACGGCCACGGCATCTAATACATATCAGTACATAATTCTTAACTCTATCTTCAAGCTTCAATGTTCCTTACCGACAAGCGTGTCTTCGTTCCAGTCTACGGATGGTTACAGCGATTCGTCGAAGCATCAAGAGCATTGAGCAGCAATACCAAGACATGAACATTTGGTAGCAAGACTGGTGCGATGAAGGAGAATGGGAGGAATAACTTTGTAGATATAACTCTGTCTACGAAGTGGCAAAGTTGAACGTAGCTTCAAGCGACACAAGGCGCCCTGCAGTCTACTTGAATAGAATTCTGCAGATGAAGCGCAAAGTAACAAAAGCTGTATCTATGTTTCACACTGCAAATTTCAACTACTGCTTAGATCTTCGAGTCGAAAAAGAACGCGTCAATTTCTGCTGCTGAAATGTGCACATACGCTCATACTCCACGCTGATTCAATATACCCGCTTCTTTATAGCCTACTACTTTAAAGAGCTATTGCCCACGGCTTAAGAGCAATAGGGCTCGCTTTAGCCTCTATAACACAATCAACGTGACACAGCATAGGAAAACAAAGCGAAAAGTGACTAGGAACTATCCATCCAACATACATTTCCTAACCAGATGCAGCTGGGCCGAAAAGAACTCAACGGCGCTGTTCGCTATGTATCAAAGACTCCGATACCATCAAACTTTATCTTAGCGATTACAGATATTACTTCGAGCAGGGCTATGATCCCAGGATCCTCAGTGACAAGGAATTACACTCTCAAAATGGGAGTGACTCTTTTTAGGCATTAATACCACAGTTTCTTCGTAGAAATTACGATAGTAATCACTCTCACCTAACTTTCTTTTAAAAATCATGACTTTCTCATTTTCAATGCTGTACCTTTCACCCAATAACTCCCAAGTCAGCCTCTTTGAAAACCAAAATTCTACGTGAAGATTATCTCGTGACACACGCACAAATCCCTCCGGATGCTCCTCAGATGTTTCTGCCGAAAAGGTTTCTTTGTTCACTTTGATAATAGCACGAGCGTTCCCATCCGCCTTCACCAACAGCCGAAGTCTTTCTCCATAACAGCAAGTGCCAAAACCTATCTTTGGCCCTAAGCTCGTCCCAGTGGTAGCAACCCTGAACTCACCATCTAATTGCTCCCCAGTATCCCAATACTAGGATTTTGTCCAATGCTGATATTCATGATCGAATGTTGCTCTTTCTCCCCACCAAATATCCTCTTCCCTCTCCCACTGTCTTCTACCCCCACCCCACCCAAACGATCATCTTCCCCCTCTTTCCGTCAATCTCTACCTTTCCCCCTATAAGTAATACATTCTCCCCCCTCGTTCTAATTATTACTCAACCCTTCCCTTTCCTTCAAAATGCTTGTCCCTACCCAGCCTGACGTAGTAGATACACAATCTCCATTTGTAAAGTCAGCTCCTGTCATTCGTGATGATGAAATGCTAATACAATCGAGCATCACTGATCCTCCAGAAAGCCACTTGAATGCCAATATAGAATCCGCTTGCAACATCTACACCCAACGCATTACGATGCAGTCTTAATCGATTGCTTCCCTAGCCGGCGCGCTCAATCAGCAAGATCTGTATAGTGCATATTCTACGTCAGGTACAATTTGCAATCTAGATACTAGTGACAATGCTTCCAACTGAATTCTTACAAACAATCACCGCATCACACACATCACATTACATGCCATAGCCATACATCACAGTCACATCGACAGCTGAGACATTCAAATATGGCAGACAAATCCATTCATATCAAGTCGGCGACTTCGCCTTTCTGACTAGGTATTTATCTATTCCTTCAGTTTTGAGTAGTCGCCCAACTAAGTCAACTCACTGACGAAATAGCCATCATTCGAATCACTTGATTCCCATCTCTTCCTCCACCATCTCATATACCCAACCCCGGGCATGCCTTCTGCATATTTCCTCCTATGATGATGATGGTCAAAAGCTCATCACTAAGACAAAGGACCCAAATCGGTCGATCATTGCCAAAGCTTTACATATTATAAAACTCCTCTTTCCTTCCTCCGCCCACCAACCATTCCGTCCGTTCATTGCGTCCGGCATCCGCCCATTCATTCCCTTTACCCCATCAATCCAACCACCCAACCTCCCACTCCAAATACAAGATTTTCGCGGTGAAAACAATTGATCCATCTACCAACCACGTCATTGAGCATATCATCCATCCCATCGTCAACATCGTCATCCATCAGAACATCAAAGAAAATCAAAGACCCGGCATGCATTCTTCGCTCAAAACAGCAGAAAAAGTGTGACAAAAACGTGATGGTGTAAGGGGTATTGGCGCGAGGTAAGGGGACAAAATTGCTGTGTTGGTGATAAGGGGATCTATTTGTACAAAGTAATGTGTTGATAGTGCTATGGTGATGTCGGTGCTGAACAAATGGGGTGTGGGAATCGACAGTTCCTCCTCCATCATATCGGGTGATATGATTTTCCGTTGTCGGTAGGGGTAAGTGTAATTATAGAGGAGGGACCATTCGATTATCGATAGACGTACGAATGGGCAGACAGGTTCTGCGGATTCAATGCGATGTAAAAAACGCCGATGGAACAAACAGACCAACGTTAGCCGAGGACAATACCCCTCAGTAATGACCAGACGTTGTCAAGAAAAAGAGAAATCAAAAGAAAAGAATAAGATAGATATTGGTTGAGCTCTATCGGGGATTCATGCGTCGGCATAGGAACCGACATTGAAAGGTGTACAAGGACGCCTTTGATCGTTGAAATTTTTGATCAAGTTTGAATAGTTCCTGCGCTACCACCAGTTTGACGCTTGACTTGCTCACGAGCCCACCGTGCGGTATCGATGGTTCTAGTTTGGAATTCTCTGTTCGACTTGGTCTCCTTGATCATTGACATGACCCAATCAGCACGGTAATATGAGGAATACTCTCCATTAGGGAAAGCATCAGCAAGATCACTAGGACAGTTAGTATACGTGAAAGAAGGCATATAGCGATGAGCACATACCCAATGACGCCCATAGCTGATCTCATAAGAGCATCACTTCGGTGTTGATCGACCCAGATGGTGTTGAGAAGGCCAAAGATTGACTCAACGTAAGGGCGTAACAGGTCATCTGCATTATTTTAGTGCCATCCTTTCAGAACATCGATCTAATGACTTACTCTTGTTATCCATCTTCATGGCACCAATGATACCACCCCAAGCGTCCATGATGCCTTCCCTCAGAGAGATGACGTAATCGAACATCTCATAGGATCCATCGGGACTAGCCTGAACGCCAGCTGCTTGTTGAAGAACTTGAGCAACGACGGACAAGTATGTCTCAAAGTGGCCACCAATAGCACCTGCGATATCTCCGAAACACTGAAGAATGGCAGGCTTGAATTGGTTGGCAAGTGCTGTGCTCTGTTGCTTTGTTAGATGTGACATGACTTTGACGGGGTTAGGGCAAGGTGGTATCCTCCAATCCATGAAAGGCAGGATTGATATCTTTAGGAAACATACCCTCAAATTGTTCAATAAATAGTTCATAAATGTGTCGCAATATGGTTGGCATGGTGGGCCCATTGAACGGGTAATATCACTGACGAGGCCAATGGCCATGGAGCACAAACTTGGCTCTTCCTGATTACCAAGAGCATTGTAAAGGAATGGGGCAAAAGCCTCCATGTAATTAGCGAAACCTTCCTCGAGAGCATTCGCCAGACTGCTGACAGTGGCGAAGACTGCATCAGGAACGCTCGATTTAGGCCCACAAGCGCTGAGAATTTGAAGTAAGATGGTCATGATTCGGTCAGCTTGAGGAGTAACCTCTTTCTCAAGACGTTGAATAATTGCCAACAAGACGGTGGACAAGCTGACTTGGATCTCCTCAAGAGTGATTCTGTCTTCCACGCTGACAACTTGAGACTGAAGAGGAAGAGTACTTTCCAGTCTCTTGATTATAACCCCAGAGAGTTCACCGACAGATGGAAGACTGTCATTGGCAGCATTCATGACGAAGGTGTTGAGAACTTCGTATGCGGCGGTTCTTAATGCGTTATCCGCGTCAGGTCTCTCGGTAACTTGAAGAAGTCTCGAGATGCTCTCGTTGAAATGGGGTGAGATAGGATTTTCCTGGCATCCGATATCTCCAGAGAAGCGTTCAGCAAGGTTCATTAAAGCCCAACAGCATGAGCCTGCCATCTTAGGACTGCTGATGAGACCTTCGAACAAAGATGCGATCAACTTTGGCAAGTGAGTAGCTGGGTCGATAGCCTCTGAGCAAGCTTCAGTAATACGACCAAGAGCATAGGCTGCCGAGTCTTTAACATGAATGGATTTATCATCCATCATGCTAATGATAACAGGTAGTGCCTGTTTGACGATTGGCTCAAGTGTTTTCTCATCCGGTCCTTCCATGATGGCGCCGAAAGCGGAGACAGCAGCATCACGATCATGCCAATCCTCTCCACGAAGCTTTTGTTCAACAAAGCTCAAAACAGGTTGGATAACTAAACCACCAACTGCTTGTGAGTAAAGTTGTAAGCATTGGTATGCGGCACGGGAGATGTTGTATTCATCATCAGCAGCATCTTCATCCTGCTTTGTTAAAAGCATCAAAAGAACGGGAACAACCTCATTAGTTGCAACCTTGCTGAAATTGTAAAATGGTCGCATCAAAGAAACTTCTTCAACCTGTCGTATTGTCAGTGTAACTCCTTTAGGGATCCGAGATGTTATAATCTTACCTGAGCATTGTCATCCTCAATGGCGATCTCCTCCTCACAGACTGTGCTCCAGAATTCAACGGCAAGCTTGGCTACATCTTCCTCTTCACTCTTCATTCCCATAATCGTAAGTCCGAAGAGGGCCTTCTCCATGTAAAAGCGCATCAAGTCATAATACAGCGACATGATTCTGTTGAGGCATCCAAAAGCACCTTGTTGTATCCTTGAATCGGTAGCTTGTGTGGCCTCGCAGATAACCTGCATGATATAATTCCGCTCTCCCTCATTCTTGAAGTTGCTATCCACAAACTCCAACGAGTTGCCAAGGGCATCGATAGCTGCTAGTCGTACTTCCAAATTTGGTTCTTCCTTTCGGGCACCTTGGACGACTGCTGTCAAGATGGCATTAGAATGCTGTACGAGGCTCTGTCTCAATTCCGCATCCTGGGTCTCGCAAATAAATCCCAGAGTAGTCAAGGAAGCCTGCTTGAGATGGTCGCTACCCTCTCCCACATTTCGCACCAAAGCGGGCATAAGTTCTGGCCATTGATCCCTAGGCAGTTCGATGGTTGCTATTGAGGATATAACTTGCGCAGCTGTTTGACCGGCTTGATTGTTGTTTGAGGATAGAGCTTGAAGAGTTAGGTCCTTCACACGCTTCCTAGTCTCTGGTTCAACCTGTAGCCATTTATCTTGTAACTCGCGTTGCAGGGCATATTCGCGGGCTGTAAAGGCGTTTTTGAGGGCGATACCAGCAGCAGCTCGGACGGAACCTTGTGCTTCTTCATTTGCTAACTGTTCTACGAGTGTGACGAGATATCCTGACTATGTTGAAGGAAGGAAAAGTCAGTAAAGAAGGTCATGGAAACTCATCGACAGTGCGGTCAAGGCTGTGTGGGGGGACTCACAAAGTTGGCTTCAGCAGCTTGGGTGAGCTGTTGTTCAGCAGCAATACGGGTAGCATTGTCTATTGATAGTTAATACACTGGAATTTAAGAGTCCGTTCACCTTTGAGACAAATGTGGTGGTGGGTGGAGGGGAAGTACCGACCTGCCGCCAAGGAATTAAGCAAGACAGAACCAACGTCCATCTTTGCAGTTTCCCAAGAGTATAAAGGTGTTTTTGAAGTATTTGTATTATTGTCAAAGAGTTATTCCTTTCTCTTCACGATATAACTGTTTTCCTGATGTGCGACAAGGTGGTTGAAGAAATTCAACTTGGGGTTGTGTTGATCGCAGGTGGAATTTGCGGTTGTTGAAGAAAGCGATGTTGACTTTGGGTGTGGTATTGACAAGGCCGATTTCTTTGCTAGATAGAAAGAGTAGCTAGACTACAGAACTGTAGTCACTGGTAGTCTCTAGTAAAGGAAGAAAGATTATTATTTTTCTAAAGATCTTGATAACCTCTCTTGATCTTGTGGAAGTATTGAGTAAATGAATGTAAAGAATCAACAGTTCTTGTCAATAGAGAGAATTTTTAAAAGTCTCTGGATTGTTTTTAGAATTTGATGTCCAAAGTCAAGAAGTCTAAATTTCCTCCTGGGTCATTAATGGAGCGGTGTCCCCGCTACGGCTGCTTCTTATTGGTCCGCTTAAGTCTACTGTCGACGTCTCACGTGACTTTGTAAATCTCACATGGGAATCTCCGGTATATGTGAATAACAAGACAATCAAAGTTAATCAATACATTCATTCACTTGATAACTTTTTTTTTCATTTGCTTACAAGACCCTTTGAGAAATACCTAGATATATCCTTGATATAAGTAGGCAGGTACAGATATTTATATAGTATATTATTCTGAATAGAAATCAAACGCTTTTCTTCAACTAGATGGTATCTTTGATCATTATGATTCTTACAATTTCTTTTATAATTTCAAATGCACTTTTTGATCGCTTTTTCATATGTCCTTCCCATCAATGCCAATCAAACCCCATCCCTGAAAAGATGCGCTAAGAAGTTACCCCTCATTTTTTGCTACGAAAGCAGCCTTGTGATAAGTAGAACAACGAAAAGAGAAAACCAATTTATGCATCATTAACTTTTGCCTCCAAAACACTCACCGCATCCGGTCCACTCTTTGGTGCTGCAGTGGGTTTGGGAATTGCAAGACTGGCGTTTTCTTTTGCCGAGCTATCAAGCTCGAGGTCACGACTGGTGCTGATACCATGCTTACCCTTGAAGAGTAGTGGTGTTGAGGGTCTGCTTGCCATGAACTGTAGTATCGTTAGATATTTTCAAATGAAGCCTTGGTGTTAATAGGCGACTTACATTTGAAGCTGCACTCAAAAGCGCAATCAAAGAAGATTGAACCACATCCTCATGAATTCCGACACCCCATACCTTCTCCTTAGAACCTGAAGCTGTACATTCAATATAAGACGCAGCTTTGACATTTGTTCCAGCACCAACTGCATGCTCCTTATAATCTGCCACCTCAAGATCAATACCTAAGCTCTTCAACGCGTTTGCCAAACTAGAAATCGGTCCATTTCCCAATCCCTTCAATTCATGCTCTTTTCCATCAATCGAAATGACACCTTCGAATCGACGCTTCAAGTTCGTCGTGTCCTGCGTCTTACCTGGAGCGGGAGGCACAGGCGAGGCACTTCTATCGGTACTGATAGAGTAATCAACAAGACTGAATCTTGGATTGTGCTTGAGGTAGTAGGTTTGCTCGAATAAATCTTGGATTTCGCGCGAAAGAAGTTCACGACTGAGTTCATCAGCACGCTTTTGAACCACTTTGCTGAAAGCAACTTGTAATCCTCTTGGAAGATCAAGCTCAAGGTTTCTTAAGATAATCCATGCGGCACCACCCTTGCCGCTCTGTGAGTTGACACGAATGACAGCTTCGTAAGTACGGCCGATATCCTGAGGATCGAGAGGAAGATATGGCACTTCCCAGCGATTCTCATCTCCATGGCCCCCCTTCTTTCGGAGTTGGAACCCCTTTTTAATTGCATCCTGGTGAGAACCGCTGAATGCACATACAACCAATGAGCCCCCATAGGGTGCTCTTGGGTGAACTGGGATCTTGTTGCTGATTTCAACAACATCTATCACTCGTTCGAGATCCGAGAAATCAATCTTAGGGTTAATTCCTTGGGTGTAAAGATTCAAGGCTAAAGTAACCAAATCCACATTTCCTGTTCTCTCCCCGTTCCCGAATAAACATCCCTCGACTCTGTCCGCACCAGCCATCTGTGCCAACTCCGCAGCTGCAACAGCACAACCGCGATCATTATGTGGATGTAAGCTGACGCAAATCTTTTCTCTCTCTGTGATATTCCTGCAGAAGTATTCGATCTGGTCGGCGTAAACATTAGGAGTTGACATTTCGACTGTAGCAGGGAGATTGAAGATGATTGGATTCTCTTCGGTAGGACCCCACGCCTCCTTGACTGCTTCGCACACCTTAATCACGTATTCCGGTCTGCTGTCCGAGAAGGTTTCAGGGCTGAACTCGAAAGCCCACTCTGTACCGGCGTGCTCGGGGTCGTCTTTTGTAATAGATCGAGCATACTTAGCACACCTAACTGCCAATGCCAAACCCTCTTCCTCATTCAAACCAAACACAATTCTCTGGAAGCACTCGCTAGTAGCAAGGTAGATATGTAAAATGGCCTTCTTGGCGCCCTTGAGGGAATCAACAGTTCGCTTCATGAATTCTTCACGACACGGTGAAAGAACTTGGAGCCAGACATCGTCCGGTACGGCACCAGGAGTTTCAACAAGGCGCCTGGTGAAATCGAAATCTGTCTGTGAAGCAGAAGGGAATGAGACTTCAATCTCCTTGTAACCAAGCTCCACCAACATCTTAAAGTACTTCCACTTTTGTTCACCATCCATAGGGTCGACCAAACTTTGATTGCCATCTCGTAAATCTGTGCTGAGCCATCTTGGAGGTTTGTCGAGAGTTTTTGATGGCCATTGTCTATCGGGCAATTCAATGGGAGGAAATCGCTTGTATTTCGTCGAGGGATCTTGAAGCCTATGATCAATTCAAGGTTAGCATTTGTATTTCCGAGTTTAAGAAGTTCACTTTGACTCATCCGTATCACTAACTTACATGGGCATTTTGACGAAATCGCGGGGTTGGATTGACGGGATAATCTTATGATTTTGCCTTGAAGACTTTCTGCTTTGTAATTGATGGTTGTTTATTCTTGTATTGTTTAAAAAGAGCAATAAGTGAAGCAATTGAAGTAGTTCTGTGTGAAGAATAATCCAGACGAAATAAATGAGATTTTATAGTGTTTGTAGATCAGAAGATATTGAGTCACAATCAGAGAATATCAAGACCAGCACCGGGAATGAATGACTCTATTCCAATAAATTTTATTAACCCGATTGTGGGGCGAGGGGAAATTCTGAAATTTAACCAATTAAATCTATGCCCGGAATTGGACCTTGAATTAGCCATTCTCTTTGTGAAATTTAGACCCAATATTACACCGAAGGTCTTTGATTGGATACAAATAAATATGCTCTTCATATCACATAGGAATCTATCTCTTATTTAGACATGAATCAGTATAAATCTTAATCGATATAAGTCTAAACCGATATAAATCTACATCAACATAAGCCTATATCAATATAAATCTACACCCCTCAATCAACAACATCAAGCTCTCGAAAACCCCATCGCTCCCTACACCCAGAACATGAAGATATAAAAGTCCCCCTTCCACATATTCTGTCTCCACGGCAGTGGCTTCCGGAGGGCCAGCGAAGCGTCAGCCAATATGACATATACATCCATGCATGAGGTCAGGAGATTCATATAATGCATCTCTAAGAACTCATATACACAGCGATATGGAGATAAATACTATTTAGTTGTTCTTTATGTATGACATAACATGCATGTATCTATTCTCGCAGTGCGCAATTGTCGAGAAAGAGGAACGTCGGTTAGATCTTCCCGGAAATCTAGTCAATGAATGAGCGGAGCCTTTCCTACAATGTAATACAACATGACATGATCTTAACATGACAGTTGCTTTTTTATGAGGTATCGCATTACAAGCATCACAACATACACAGACATCACAGCATGCAAAATCACTGATTCCGATAACATCACACAAAACACTCAGTAGTTTAAACAATTCAATTACAACAAAGGCACCTAACTCTATAGACAGACGACTATCCTATCCGCGGCAGTCAAATCGCTAAATACAATCCTAGGCAGATATCCTAACTCCCCGCTAAAAGCGAATCTAATCTTCCATCTTTCCTATTTTAACTCTTCTAGAGTTTTTCTCTCGTCTAATCATGGTATGATTAATATACAACTGCAGCGTTGTGGTCTGATCTGGTCCGGGAGTATAATACAAAATTCTCCATCCACAAAAAAAAGGTTATGTTTGAGAATCGAAGAAGAAATTATCAATGACCGTCGACCTGTTTTGCACTACTTTACTTGCCATCTCATGGATTTTATGATCTTTCCTTGGGATTGCTTCTGTTTGGTGTTTGAAATGTATGTGGAAATGTGTCCAAGGACGAATGCATTCTTTACATTACCAAGTAAAACTCTCCTCGATGAAATCCACAACCCCATGTTCTTGGACTTCTCTCACTGCTTCTCGTACGCTGTCTTGTAAGGCTCCTGGTCCACAAACGGTAACGCACATGGCGCCCACTTGTTCCCTGACCTCAGCCTGTAACAATAAATTGATGTTCGGTCTACCAGGCAACATTTGCACCGTCGCACTTGGAGAATGAATCTCCTTTGGATTCTTAGGTTTCGTGACAAACAACTTGATGGTAAGAATGTCGCGACGTCCTTGCATGCGCAAGATCTCGTCCATCCACGGTCGCACCCACTCAAGATGTTCGACGTCACGGATGATCCAGACGAGAAGGACCTTCTTGGTGGCGATGGTACCGTCGTTGAAGCCTTGGATAAGGTGTTGAACATAGGGGATTTGGTGGGTGATTCCGGAGGAGCCAGCGAAAAGGACTGCATGACCGTAGGAATCGAGAGAATGATGTCCAGCGTATGGCCCTTCGAATGCAGCTTTCAGTGTCAGGGCACGTGGACTGGCAACTTGAGCTGCATCGAAAAGACGACGAGTCAAACCAGTTTGTGCATGGATTACGAAGCTGATATCGGTCGTTTGTCCTTCTCGAACGAGTTTCTTCTCATCAAGTGGGAGTTCCGATGTGAACATTGGGCGATGAGCGACCCAAGCGATTGAGAAAGGATGAGACTCCCAGAAATTTAGCTTGGCAAAACGGAGATAGGCGTGAGAGCCGGGCTTAACGTCGAGTTTCTTGGGTAGGTGCATGGTAACACGGCAGGCATCTCCGGGCATGGCTTCAATGGTTGCGGTGGTCCAGCCTTTTGTACTGTAGTTGCACCAGACGAGACGTGCCATTCTACACACACGATCAGCGACCCACAGAAAGGCGACGGCCCGGATGTAAGGCTTTTGGGGAAGACTTGGAATGTCACAATGAATCCAAACACCGGCGATGGCGACGGCGGCGAAGATGATATGAAGATTGAGGAAGGTTTCGTAAAACGCGTGGCGAATGGGCGATGGAGATGTGAGGAGAAGAAGGACAAAGGCAATAGTACCCATCATGCCATAGGAAGAGAATGGGTCGTGCAAAAGCTTGTCCCAGACCCCGGAGAAACCTGTATCCGCGTACTGGACGTATGCCCAACAGGAGGTATGTACAAGAGCCTCCAATACGACTATCCTTCCCATCCATCGATGCAATAAGTTGTAGGTATCGAAACTGATTTGAAGCCACCCAATGAGGGGATTGTTGCGTCCGGCAAGGATGATGAGTGCAATCATGTTACACACAGCGAGAACACCAGATCTTCCTCGAAGCTCGGCTACGATAGAATACTTGTTCTCTCTGCTATAATCAAGAACCAACGTATAGGCGACGTTCATCGACAGGTAGAGGATCAGGAGTAGTGCATGCCATCTTGACGGAAGGGTTCCCATGTTAACAGCCGACGACAACTTGAACTCTCTGTTGTGACGTTTACTCCATAACGGGGCATACAACAAATGCTTCTTGACTTTCCACCAACTGGATCTGTTTTCCTGGAAATATCTTTGTTGATTCGAGTTGCTATTCATCCCTGTCATATGTCGTATGTGTGACTGCGCCCTGTGCATGATCCTGAAGACAAGGATCATCAATGCCATTATTCCTAAGCACCACCATAAAACATCCCGTAAAAGATCATTGACACCTTGGTTGACTCCATTCAAGTCCTCGGCGTACATTCCTATAGTGTTACTAGGTGCTGCAGCTGCTTCTGTTGTAGTTGCATGCTGTAAACTTGTGGTGGTGGTGGTTGCAGTGGCTGCGACTCTGCGCAAAAGATCGAAGGACTCCATCTCGATACAATTGATTCTTTTGTATTGTTCGTATCTGAGACGAGTGCAAAAAAACAAAAATAAAAAGAATACTTTGGTTATTGTTTGAGGTAATGTAGAAGTGCTTCTGTGTAAAGCTATCTAGAAACTGTTGGTTCGTAAATAATTGGGTTTGGTATATGGTCGTTGGGTCTATAGGCTTCGAGGTTCGAATTTTGTCCGTCAAGGGAGAGGAGCTTGTACTTACAATAAAACTTGAGGTCTGTTGTCCGATTGTTCTAAGATTGATCTCTCTAATTGTGTTGCTTGGCGCTTGTTGGTTATTTGTCTATTGTTCTCGAACTGTGAACAAAGAGATATAATTTTTCACAAGGGACATGCTGTGGAAGCTGTAGGAATGATGGTGAGGGAGAGTGAGTGAGGGTGAGTTTCCTATGTTCTTGAAATAAAAGAATGATTCAAGAATAGAAATGACATATGATTGATTGTTGAATGATGTTGCAATTGTTGTCCGGGTAATAATGAATGTGAATGGGAGAAATGATTGGAGAGTCAGGTATTAGTCTCCAGGACTTATGAAAGCAAAATCCCCAAATAACTTTTGAATGAAAGAGTGAATAGAAAAATTGACTTTTGTTCGAAAAATGAAGATCTCGAGGACGAGGACGAGGACCAAGACCAACGACAAAGGGAAGATGGCGATAAAGAGTTGATGTATATTTTTGGGACGGGCTAGTAAGGTAGGGTGGTAGGTAAGGTTACTTTCTCTGCGGGGATCCCTTTTCGAACACTTTGTGGGTCTAGCTAGACATGTAAGGTACGCACTCCGTACCCGTAGACAGGACCAATTTGAGGTTTTGGTAGCGATACCTACTCCGTAGTAGTAATAGTGCAATGTTTTTAATGGTGGATACGGCACCGGCGGTTGAGCTTGAGCGCGAAAGTTATGAATCAGATATATTATTTTGATTGTCCGTACCGGTACTCGATATAAAAATTTATCCAAATAGGAAACGTGGGCCTGCTGGTAAATGATGTCGCTGCAGGGTTTATCAGCACATTTTTGTGAATAGCTTCGAACTTCGAAACGGAAGCCCTGCTCTCCGTCGTATTGTACAGTCCAGGAAACAAGAAAAGAACATTCACCCGCCCGCCGCTGCGTCAGAGAAAGTGGCAATTCTGATGAAACAAAAGTTTTTGAAAGTGGGTGAGGTGGGTGAGGTGGTGAGCGACTAAGTGAGTTTGTCGATGAAGAGAAGATGAGTACGGTACGAGGAAACAACCCGATTTCATCAATCAATAGAAATGAATGACTGATACACAGGGAAGACAGACAGTGCATATGATAACTAGGTACGGAGTAAGTCTTACTAGGTAGGTACATGGTACGCGCATTTCCAAGTCTCTTTAATACCGTATCGTGTCGTATCGATGATTGAATCCCCTCCCTCAAATTAGACTCTCTGCCTGCATCCTGCTAAATTCCATTGACTAATCTCGTTCTTGAGTCCTGACGAGCCGAAGGGATTGAACGGGTAGGGTAGGACTTGAGAAATGGTCCGCCCGCGTCCAATCCCTTGGCCATCACTTCTTGTTGTCGTCACACAGCATTTTTGTGAATGAGAAATAGCCGCAGTATATGCATATATCATGCCAGGTTAAATCCATAGATTGACCTTGAAAATACTCTTGGGCGTTTGGAATGGGACCGAACATGGCCCGTCATTTAATGAAAATAATAAGTATTTATCTTTTGTAGGCTAGTGGAGATGATCAAATCCTCGTATATGCAAATTTATAAGAAGGTAAAAAAGAAAAGAGAGAAGGTTTTTCGTGCTTTGGTCTCCAATGAACTGTGGCTGATGATAAAGACAAGGAATTACGGAATCATTGGTGAATAAGAATGGAGACCAAGGTAAGGAAAAGGCGAGGAAAAGGTAGGGAAAAGGCTACAGGTAACACAATCGAGAGCAGACACCTGGATAACCCATTCCAATTGGTTTTAACGTTTTAATGTTTCGCGCCTCACTCAGGGGAGGAGCGAGGGGGGTTTGCTTCAGGGGTAAAAACGATGGATGAATGGAGTATAGACTCTAGAGATGAGATGATCAATTTTATCCCGACAGATCTTTGGAAACCTTAGTGAGTAGATTTACAAGCCTACCTAGTCTAAGAAGGGACGAAGATGAGATTAGAAGACCAGTCGAAACGCTTCAAGGGGAACATTTCAAAAGACGTTAAAGCTTGAAGTAGGTACTCTGTAGTAATTTAGTACTAGGTAGATCTTACTTTGTAGATAGATAACATCATTCACATGCCTCCCATGGGAAAACGGCTGGTTATCAAATGATCCGATCCATTACGAATTCCCTTTTCCAACGGGGTCAGTGAGTTTTTATGTCTGTGAATAATACCTACGGAGTAGTAAGATCTTACCGTCGTCTAATAAATACATTACCGGCAGCCACTGAAGCTTCCACGAAATCAGAACCTTATACTAGGCTGTTTTAGATACTCGATGAAATCTAATTTTTTAACACTCGGATATCACCAATTGTCATCGGACGCATATGTTCATTCCATTCAAGTCGTCATGGTTCATGGTTGCCATCGATTGGAATGAATTCAATTCAGGCATGCACGTCTGTCATCATAATACAAAGAATTTCATGCGAGACCCAAGCCTTTCCAAAACCAGGATAGTGGACGAGGTTCAAATCGCTCCTTGCTGGCGACGGAGTACGGCAAGCATCCTTGAGTAAATCTATTCCATTCGAACCATTCGTTTCAATGTACAGCATGGTGTGAACTCTTGATCTTTTCCTGTTCCATGGGACTCTCAAGTAGACCATAATGTAATCCATGCAAACCGCAAACCCCAGAAGACCATAACATAATCGATGGAACCTTCCAAGTGAGGGAGGGACATTAATTACTGTACGAACCGTACCATTGAGTACTCGAGTACTTCAATTCGACTGAACCTCCGGTAAACAGAACAGATACCGTTGAGAGCAATTCAATTCAATCGAAAGCAAGTTCCTTCCCCAAACCTGGACTCCATTCATAATCGTCCGAGCATGCCATATAAAAGTACCACCGGGATACAAACCTCTGCAACCCATTCCAGATTCCGCAGCCGCCGACCGATATCCGAGCATCGCAAAGTAGAACAGCAGCAAGTGCCAAGTCTATCAAACAGAAACGCCCTTTAGTTTCAAACCGCCAGAGTGGAATTAAAAGAATTCGCAAATTTTCATGAAATCCGACCAAAGTCCGGGGACTACCTTGAGAATGTATGAAAAGAAGAGATGGCCCCATTCTGTGAAAGCACAAGATTCATATCTCATGTTTACAGTAGAAAGCACTGGTACAGGTTTGATTATTAGATTCATGTCAAGTAGTAGATAGAGACTGGAGGGAGATGTTGATAACCCTTTCCATCTGTCTGGTCATACTCGAGAAGAGCTCAGGTCTGGAAAATATGATGCACATGTGGGTGAAGCCCGATTTGGATGATCCTTTGACTTTATTGAGATTGATCGTCCTGGTGTTGAACATCCCAATCCATTTTATACTTTAAAGTTGAGGGCTGAGATCAACCTTCCCTTGTAATGAATGCTCCAGCCACTTGCACCAGCCTCAATCAGACGGTGATCGGTCATGGGTAAACATACATCCGATACAAGGCCACAAGGCGTCAATTCTTCCGATTTTCAGCGAACCTTGAGAAATTCCAAGCTCGTGAGGTCACGATTGTAAATTATATCGTTCAGGCAATTGATTCTTCCTCCACCAGTCAATATGGGATCTGGCGCTTCGAAACCTGAGGAACCTCCCAAGGCACAAGTATGGTCCAGGTAATTCTCCCGATAATCTACACATGTTTCTGCTGGCAAGCTCTAATATATCTGGTCTGGTAGTGAAACGCCTGTACGGTTCTCGGAACAACTCATAAATTCTTTGCAGTCGAGTTCAGAAGTACACTCCCCTTGCTTCTATGTATCCGAGAATGTAAATCTAACATATTCCAAAGTCCGATTCTACCCGCGCTAAAACCCTCGAACTTCACATCCAAGCTCGCGTCGCCAGCGAACTCAAGAAACTCCAGGAGCGCGCCAGTAAAGACTTTGAAGAGCTTACCGCCAAAATCTCCAATGAAGAATCTTCGCCTCCATCGGAAGAAAAATCTGCTGGCGATAGCTTAAGACAATTGGGCAGAAATGCGGTTCAGAAAGATGTAGAGGGGTTGAGGAAGAAGTTGGAACAGAGGAAGAAGCTGCAGGAGTTGGATGAGGAGGTCGAAAAGGCAAAGAGTGAGGTGGTTAGGTGTTTGAGGGAAAATGACAGGAGGCCGTTGGATTGTTACAAGGAAGTGGAGGCTTTCCGACGGGAGGTGAGGAGGTTGGAGACTAAGTGGGTGGAGGGGGTCGTCAGATAAGCTGGGGAAACGTCCACATGGGAGGAAATGAGGTGTATCATACGGGGAGCTAAATGGTGGGAAGAGATCAATGAAGGTGTCTACGGATCCACCGTGTACAGAATACGTCTTTACAGAAATAATCCATGGCGTGGATGTTTGGTTCCAAGATCGAGATGATGTGGAGTGTCAAATGCATCAGGTTTTGATATCACTATAATCCACTGGAGCTTCTATGGTGCTCAGTAGAAACCCCTCCGAGTCCTTATTCTCCATTTCCTCACTCCTCTCTTTCGCTTCCTTCAATTCTTGAGCCCTTCTCAGACCTTCCGCACGTTTCCGCGCCTTTCTAGCTTGAGAATCTTCCCAATCCTCCCCATTCTCTCCCACCTTCTTCTTCTCCATGGGATTCATTGCCTCTTTGAGTAACAATCTAAACCTCTCAATCCTTTTCGTATTCTCTTCGAATCTCTCATTCGAAATCCTCATCAACGTGCCAAGTTGTCCATTATCGACAAGGCAAACTCCTTGGTCAATTGTCTCGTGAAATACACCAACTAGTGATTCGAGAGTCAATCCCATACATCTTATTCCTACCATGGGAGTTGCTGGTTCTGAGGTGGTAGATATTAGGTTCAATGCACCACTTTCCCGAAAGCCGGCTTGCAATGCAGCTGACAGCACTTTTTGCGCTTGGTCTATTGATGCTGTGAGGACGTGCAAAATCTAGTCAGACATCAGTATTTAAAACTTGTGAAAACAGAACAGTGAGCATAATATACCATCGGCTCAAATTTAAAATGTATATGCCTTGCATCCCTCTTCTTGTTCTCAGGAATGGAATTCATGAGGTTCCCCTCATTAATCTTCATCCCCAGCAACCCACAAAGTGCCCCTTCATCTTCTAGCTTGCTTAATTCCTCAACACTAATTGGATCATGAGAAACATATAGCCATCTCCCACCCCCTCCTTTTCCCCCAAACCCAGCACCCTTCTCAGCTCTCACGTCTGGGGTAGCATCCATACTAGCTTTATCTTCCACCAGACTTCGGAATTCATCAGAGCTTTTCTTCCCTTCGAGGAATACGCTCACTCGCCCAGCGCAACTACTGGTTGTGCAACAACCATCCAAAGAATTAATCTCGTCGATTAATTCTCGGATGCCTTCATCAACGGAACCTTTGGGTGATAGATCATCGTATTCTTCTGTTGGAACAGCAAGTTTGCTTGATATCAGCTTTTTCTTGCTGATGAAAGATTGGGGTAGAGACATTTTGTTTTATTCATGTAAATATATATATCTCATGTGATGATGGAGGGGTGAAGATATTGGTGGGTGATTGTATGGATCAAAAATCATTGGGTGTTGAAGCGAAGGATTCGTGAAGTTTAGTGGCCGAGGATGTTCCGAGACAAATGGAATTGAACTTCATCACACAATTCATTTCTTCTCCCCTTTCTCTACCTTCTCCAATGTCATAAATATGATGATACCTCTCACCCATAATATCTCAAGCGTCTACCATTTGAAATTGGTTTTTATCCTCAAGCCTACTATTCTTCAAATTAAATCTTCAAATATATTCTCTTCACATGCAGACATCACATTCATCATCGGTAATTGCACCTCGGTAAAAACTTATGATGCCGAATTTGTACTATCTGAAATGGACAACTACAAAGGCTGCAAACATCAAGGTGTCGTTCAAGTGACCTCAAGAATCAGAGCAACCAAAGAAGAAACTTGACCCAGCTCATCATAATCTCAAACCGAGTATCCCAATCAAATAACCTTTAAAAAAATTCAAATCCTTTCAAATTAATACGCAAGTCCGCAAGGTATCAGAATTTATCGTCATGAGAAAGTAAGATCAAGTCATGCGAGAATATGACAATGCGGGTGAAACATACGTGCCGAATTTCTCTCGATAAGATCCCTTCAAAGCACAAATAGAAGAATACTAACAGTGCTGTTCCTTCAATGATATGACGGTATTTCAATGATTCCGAGAATGGCTTCATGAATCATCAAATTGGTGGTAGACAGATGTAATATGAGAAAATCGAAATATGAACAATTGAGGGCAGCCGACGATTACGAGGAAGTTCAAATCCAGCCACCATGATTGTTGGAAGGTTTCGAGAACGAGACTAACCATGTATCAACGGTTGCTAGTGAAGATTTCCTAAAACGCCCGATGAATTGTGTCTGATAAATGGAAACAGCTGCTAGTCAGGTCGTCCATCTATCAATTGGATGGACCCGCCTCTAAAGCGGGAGTAAGTGCTCGTCGAATGGCTGTCTCGAATGCCGCCCACTCCTTCTCAGCAAGCTCGGCAAGGGTCAAACTCAGGGCATCAGTGTAATCAACGAGCTTGTCCAGATTGCCGAAGAGATTGGGAGTCCGGGGAGTCTCTTCAGCTCTAGCTGCGGCCTTCTCAGCTAATGTAAGTTGCTTCTTTTCTGCAGTGGCCTCTTGGATAAGCTTAATATAGTACTATTGTTACTTAGTCAGTATTCTTACTCAATCAAGGTTTACCCATCTTGATACTCACTTGAACAAGATCATACGCAACGTCCTTTCTTGGTCCAATGGTCCAAACATAGCTCCAGAGATCAGCTTGTGGAGGGACACCAAGCTCAAGAGCAATTTGGGGGTCGATCTTCATTTGGAACGCGATGTTATCCTTCATGGTTGGACTGAAACCTTCGCACTTTAAAGCAGTCCGCCAAACTCGCTTCAACAACTGGGAGTTGAGGTTAAGTGGATCATCATTACTTTCGACACGCTCGACGAGCAATGCAAGCAATTGAGTCGTAGCCTTATACAACAACACACGATCTTGGCAAGTAATGTAGTTGACCATAGCCCAAGGAAACTTGATCAGTGTGCTGACAAGGCACTCAAATGGTCGCTGGGGACAATCCTTTGAAAATGGAGACTAGGGAAGGTCAGTGTCATTTCATGCCAGCAAGAAAACCCTGGAAACACTTACGCGCTGTGGAGACTCGACATGCTTGACCAACATCACCAATTCCTCACGACTGACGAAGCCCTGAAAACCAGAGTTGTACCTGTCATTCTCATCACGAGCAATGATCTTTGGCTTACAACCGTGCCACTCCACATTCTTTGCCTTGGGGAAGAGCTGCTTCATCAACTCCTCCTGCGAAGACAACTCCACTTCTACATGCCGCTGACCGAGGCGGCCACCTCGCCCGCCGATTCTATTCGTATCAAAACGTTGAACGGCGTTCGCGGCCTCAGAGAAGCTGACGAATTCAACGTAAGCATCTAACGTTTTGCTAGTAACACGCTCCATGATGATGTGGATAGGCTCATGGTCATCTGCTGCCGCGATTCTTGCGTTGCGACCTAGAAATGCAAGGATTTCTTGACGAGTGACGCCATAGGGGATCTAAGAATGAATTAGCATGGGGAATTAAGATCCGCGACATGAACTTGCATTTTTTATTCTCATGACACCCCATTGGACTGGCTTCGATTGACGGCAGTACTCCTCAAAGGGCATGAACCTCATTTCAAGAGCCTCATCGGCAGTTGGCACAGTGGTACCGTTCCGGGTTAACTCGCGAAGCAAGGGGCTCATACCACCGGCAGCTCCAAAACGGGAGTTGGGGCTGAATGGAGTAAGAGCGGTAATGGGATTAAATGGATTGACGGTGAGAGGTCGTGGAGTAAAAGTGGAAGCACCGAGCATGCCATCATGGGAACCATTGATTGAGCGCTCAGATTTTCCTCCATCGTAATGCAACATCTTGGGAGTATTATCAATAACAACTTCACTCGTGATAGAGTTTTCGTGGGAAGAAGTTCCACGAGTTGGTGTATTTTGGACCCAATCGTTGACGTGCTGGGCACGATCTACCGAAGCCGTAATAGACTTGCCGCGACTGGACCGAAGCAGAGGTGTAAAACTAGGTCTTGGCTCGGAAGCAGTGGCAGAGACTGGGAGGTCGTTAGATGACACAGGTGATTGAATGCTGTTGCTGCTTTCTTGACTTGGCTGGCCTTGCTCACTTTGCAAATTTTGCTTTTGCGGTCGAGGGGTATGGACAACTGGTGGAGGATTACTATTGATAGCTGCGTGAACGTGGTGGCTAAGATCGGGGTTGGATACATGGGGTTTCTGCGCATGAAATTGCGGCTTTGGCGGAAGCGGATGGTAAATATTGCCCACAGATGGAAGCGAAGAATATTGTGCGTTGCGAGCACTAGCAGCAGTGTTGTTATTATTCCCAGCAGCCTGCAAATTGCCATTGGAGTGGTTTCGCTCTAGACCATCATGGCCAATGTTATTCATGCCATTGCTATGGCAGTAACCACCAATTGGATTGGCGTTAGGAACGATGCTATTTGGACCCGTGCCGAGACTGAGGCTACCAAAGTTCAAGTTTGAAGCCATATTTGAAGCTGAACCTGGTGTAGAATTTGTACCACGATAATAGTTATTTCGAAATTGCGGCGGATTCGGTGGAGCAGAATATGTCTGGTTGTATTGTGGACTGTATGGGTTGGTAGGAAATTGAGTAGCAATTGGTGGCAATTGTGGTCGCATACCCATATTCTGTTGTTGAAAGTTGCGCTGATCTACAGTACCGTGGCCATTGAAACCAAGCAAATTTTGATGCTGATACTGCTGATTTCCAATATGAACATTACCAACCTGAGGGTTTTGGGGGACTCCGATCTGACCGTCGTAGGGCGGTGATTGATATGCATTATTAGCTACATTGAATCCATGCATATCATTGACACCACTCATGCCGTTCATACCGCTCATGCCCATACCGAAATTATCCTGCTGATATCCTCGTTGTTGTTGCTGTTGAACTGGCATCTGATATCCATTCTCATGACCAAAGGCTCCAGCAGAAGCACCATTCATGATGGAATTTTGATTTGCAAACGGTTGAAACTGAGCTCTAGCATCATGGCCATTATTAAAGTCAGGTGTAGCAAAAGGTACTGGAGGTTCAGCAAAGGGACTTGGATCTGGAATGGCAACTGCACCATTATTCTCATACTCGGATGGTAGATTCCATGAAAGTGGTACTTGTGTTCTGAAAGAATCATTTGAGTTTGCAGAATCCTGGCTGGTGTTTTGAAGACTTGAAAGAGATGGTGGAAAGCCGTGGATGTTGTTGTTAAATTGAAAGGCATTTGGAGCTGGCTGGCCAGTGGGCAAATTGAAAGGAGCCATGGTTGGAGTTGCAGGAACGTTCCAGTCATTTATTGAGGTAAGAGTTTATTGTTGATGATCTATCATCTATTGTTGATAAAGGAAATGCGATGTATCAAAAAATGCAGGTGAAGTAGACAATAAACAAGATGCAGGCGGAGGCGGAGGCGGAGGTATTTGGGAGGATGGTGCAAGAAGGTTCAAGGAAAGCAAAGTTATTTGCCCTATTGGGTACAAAGGATGAGCATTAGAAGAAGGACAAGAGGGGGAGGAAGAGGAAGATGATGGTGAATAATGTTGTGTATATTGCTTACTCTTTTTATGTTGTAAACTCGAGCTGTCGCTAGGGAGACCAATTTCCAATCTGGGGTCGCTGCTTTGAAGAGTTGGAGAAATCATTTCATGGCCTGTCCAGCTTCAGCCGAGAACGACAAATACCAGAGTAGTAAAGTTACTAGTGTCACATAGAACGAAGGAATGATGATGGCGATGATCTGGCAATGGTTGATAATATCTTTAGTGAAAGACACTCGATACTCTTGAAATGCTATGTGAAGTACATAAAAGGGGAAAGGGAGGATAGGGAAGAACCGTACTTGGGAATATATCCATACATGTGGTACAGCAAGCTCATCAAAGGTGAGCATGAGCTAATGGAATCTTGGGGAGAAAGGATCGGGACTATATGGAAAGGGGAGGAGTGTGGAAGATTGATGTGTTATTGGAGTATTCTATATATTTCTCGTTGTGATATACACATCTCAGAGGTACCCGGATGAACCTCGAAATCTATGGACACTTCAAATTCACTTCGATAAAGAGTAATATGAGGAAAATTGAAGAAACCCTGTTCGGCTATGGTAGTTAACATTCGCGGATATTCCATTCTCTCTATGGTTGTTTTATATCTCTGGTGACCATCAATTGTGAATAAGACGAATCTCCACGCCACAGGATCTTGAAACACCACCATCAATAGAATTGCGCGAACCAAGGAATATTCACCATTGTGAAACTATTTGTCTATTCTGTTTGTCTGCCTGATCCTCAACCTCCTCCCAGTTTCTCCTGCTGTCCTATCGCTCATGCTCTGCAAAATCTTGTAGAGCTAGATCAAGCGCTCTCCCCTATAGAAATCTTCGACGATTGGCATTGTCCGATTTTGTAGGCCGGCGGCAACCATCATCAATTTATTCAATAGTGTTATCTGTGTTCCAATTATGCATCACTTGGTTGATGCATATGGAACCTGTTTGCCAGGCACCTGCATGAAGAAAGTCGGGTTCTATGACCAGTTGATACTCGTCTCCTATGCAACGGCCACCTTCTTCCAGAACACCTGGGTAAGAGACACGGGTCTACACTTCCTAATCGCGAAGAAAGATAATTGATGGCCATGATAAGATCTATACCACAGCTATTCTAGTTCTCATTCATCTTTAAGAGATCCACGCACTTTTACACACACTTTTTACACGCAATTCCACGAGCTAACAGCGGCGGTTGGATTGTCTTCCATTACTTGGATCAATATTTCGAAGGTGTGACGAAGGCGAAAGTGAGCCGAACAATTTTTTTATTTGTGAACGGAATCCAATATCATATCAAATACGGATACAAGCAAACATGTATGAGCATTATTATCTAGTGGGAAGAACCAAAGGCCTTCTCTCCCCCAAGTCTTCAATCACAAAAGCCTCACAACGCAGTTATCAAGGGACCAAAATCTGATCAAAATCCTTTAGACGCTGTGATGGCCTAGAAAAGCTACAGCCTCATTCATTTTCCTCACTATCCCAGGCCTTCCACGTATCAGTTCTAATGGAACTCCTTCCAACTACCCAACTTCTCCGTGTCTCCAAAGTTTGCACACCCTAGGGTCTCAAGTGCCGCGACTTCGGCGACGAACTCCTTAAATATCCAATTCTTCAGCCCAATGGCTAGTAATGAATCAACACCTCACATTTGTAATGGCTTATTCCTATCAGTGGATATGTCATCTTGCGTGATTGAAAGCGATTTGGCTAATTTCTTGCCTATGGCTTGCATAACCATCTTGGCAGCTTCCCCAAGTGGTGCTGAAGCTGCTATTATTTTGCGGCACTTGGCCTGAACTGTAACTCTGGTTGTCACAGCTTGTCTATAAGATAAGAGGGTACGGAAAGGAGGATCAAGAATAGTCGACACTCTCTGACCTGGCCTGCCTTTGCCTTCAGCTCCAAGTTCTACGCGATCCTGACTTTGAGTCGACGAAAGAAGTCGCAATTATGGGCTACAGTCACAGTGGTTCTCAAGTATAGTACAATATTTTTTACGATTTACGGGCTCTAAAGTGTCATATATGAGGAGCCAATCCGGAGGCCACGTGTTCTCAGCTAACACACCATTGTCAACTATATAGCACCAGAGTCGGGGCATATAGCTTGCTCGTCCTTGGAGAGGTAACACCATGCTGAAGCATACTCATAAGTAGTTGCTACGTTGTAATTGCCTTGTCCTCGCAGTGCTAGCAGACCAGATGCGGAGGGAAGAATAATGCAAAAGTAGTAGAACGGATTGTATAATCCAGGGCTACGGTTACCTACATTCCACCGTGTATTTCCGGCTATCGTCATCAATATGCTACTTTGGTATTGACTGAAGGAAGGAAAGAACATCTTAAACTCACATTAGGAGGTCACGGTGGTTGAGCGCCAAACAAAGAAATGTGGGATAATGGCAAAGGGTAGTGTTTAGAAAGTTTATGATGTTCGTGATTCCATCCCTTGGGCTCCAATATATAATAATGTGAGGGGAACCTGTAGTAGTGCGAAAAGAGAAATTATATATACTTGATAAGGTTGAGTTATTTATTGGTTATATGTAATCGGCTATTGTGAGAAAGTTGGAATTGTAGACCATATATATAGAGATTTCCTAATTAATTAATTATGTAAATTTTAATGATTAAATATAAAAAGAGACTTCATTGTTCTCTTTCCAAAGCAATTAATCTTTTTATATATATACTTTTGAATATATATAACTTCCTTTTTAAATCTATTATAAAACTCATTTTAGTCTTTAAATAATATATCCTAATATATTGTCACGATTCACCATTAGGATTGATGGTGTTACGATGATAGCAAACTGATTAATTAGGAGAGCTTAGGCCTTGTGCAAACACGATCAGATTTCATCGAATTAGTATGTGATCTTGGTCACCTGAAGATCGTATGCGCACGCACCATCAAAAATCACGTGATAAGGAGCCCTAGGAGCCCTCAAAGCTCCTAGGGGCTCCCTTTATCATTCATTATATAGTCAGAGTAGTTTCATAGTTTAGGAGCTTCGTGCTCAACTTAGTTATCAATTAGTTTATCTACATTCTACTTGATCTAGTAACGAATTCACTTTCAAGTGAATACCAGTGATAAAGCCTTAACCCATAACTACCAACCGACGAACCTTAGGCAGCCGCTGCCTTTAGTATAGTGTCGTTACAGTTATCCCCATCTACAGGTGCTCTTCTGTTACGAGGTTTGCCGTCTAGATCACGCGGAAGTGCTCTAGGCTCTCGAGGTGGTTTATAACTAGGCGTCAAGCAGGGACTTAAAGTAATGACAATAATGATATGCAATTCGTAACTAATAGTAGAGTATACTAAATGATTGATCTTGAGCACCAAGCTCTATACAAAGGAAATCCATCTTGATTATATAGACCTTCATGCCTATGGCTAGTCAGGACCGCGCAGCGGTCCATAACGTGACTTAATCACGTTACCTTGGTTTAGTCATGTGACGCGGTGTGGAAGATAGCCGTCGTAACATCTTCACCTATAGATTCTAAGTTAAATACAATTGCTGGTCTATAAACACTCTTTCGATCACATCTATATTGAAATTGAAGATTTTATTTTTCATTTCAATTCAATTTTATAATTTTATTTTTGTAATTATTATAATTAATTCAAAGAGAATTATATTATAAATTAATATATTCAAAACTATATTAAATTTTAATATTATCTATATCTCGAAATCATTTAATTTTTATAAAAGTGATAATAATTTATTTAATTAAATAAATTTTATAAATGAGAATATTATTATTGAATATAACTTTATAGATTATTATTTATTAATAAAATATAAATTATAGATTTTATAAAATTATTTTGAATCTTTTATTTTATATCAAAAATATATATAAAATATTAATAATTGTTAAAAGGAATAGAAGTTACCGGTACTAATCACGTGTCGTGATTAGTAATACGGTTACCTAAACAGGCTAGATTAGACCAACCATAAGCAGGCATATTGGTCCCCTCCGAGGATACCAAGAGGAGATTAATATGCCTACAGACGTAGTAATATAGTCAATATAGAGGCCTCTTCCACCCAATCTTTTAATAATAATATTATTATATATGTTAAAGTGAATGGTTCCTGCGTAGCACGTACACAGGGCACTAGTTCTATTAGGACTAGATTGAGAAGCTCTCTGTAGGAGAGCTTCACACTGTTACGTAGTAACAGTCAACCTGTCCATATGAGCTCAGACCCCGTGGAAAAGCAAACCGATTCGCATACAAAAAATTGTATGGTAATTAGTTCGTAGAGTCTCCCCACCTTCAGCAAGCACAGACATATGTTCTGATTGAAATCACGTGATGAATCTAAGGATCTAGAGCATCTAGGGGATCTAGATAATTAAACTCTAGATCCAATAGATCTAAGGGATCCAAAAGAATACAGTAGAATATGAAGTTCTATATAAAGGGATAGGTTTTCATTTGTAGAGCTTCGTGCTCAAGATCAATCATTTAGTATATCCTACTATTAGTTACGAATTGCATACCATTATTGTCATTACTTAAGTCCCTGCTTGACGCCCAGTTATAAACCACCTCGAGAGCCTAGAGCACTTCCACGTGATCTAGACGGCAAACCTCGTAACACACACTTCCGTAAAACTTAGAGAATGGGTGATTTATATACAAGACCAATATAGCCTCAGTTCTGCCCTATCAGCTTCCCACTATTCCATGTGTAAGGTCATTCCTTTTAACAATATATTCGATTTTTATTGTCATTTTAACTATTATTAATTAGATTTTAAATTTTATGAGTATTATTATATAAAATCCATTTTTTATTCAAAAAAATATAAAAATATAAAAATATATTTTTAGTATTATTTTCTTTGAAAAATTTGAATTATAATATAATCATATTATTATTAATATCTTTTTAAGATTTATAAATATTAATAAAGATTTTATTTTAATAATAAATCTTTTTATGTTTGAAAAAATAATAATATAAATAAATCTTAAATTTATTAATTATAAATTTTTGAAATATAAAATTAATTCGATAATTAAAAGCATTATTTAGATTATTTTATTTTTTAAATTTATTGGTTTTTTCTAATTTCTTAATTTTGAAAATAAAATAAAAATTATTAATAATAAAATTGTTATTATTTAATATAATCTTGATTGTTAAAATTTTTATGATCTTTTTAAATATTTTAGATATGTTGATCATATTAAATATAATATCCAAATTAACATTTATAAAGATTTATTTAATATCAATTATATTTAGAATTTATATTATATTAATTATTATAAATCTTTTTTTATTAATTATATAGGTAAATAAATAATTTTATTATTTTTTATAAAAGAATAATAAATATATCAGATTGATTTATAAAAAATTCAATATTATATAAAAGTATAAAGATATTGTTTTTAAAACAATCTATTTTATAATTATTATTAATTTTTTTAATATATTATTGTTATAATAATATATTTGAAAATGTATTATAATTAATATTATAATAAAATATTTATTAATAAAATATTCAAATTGATTGAATCAATATTAATAAAAATAGTTTTATATATATTATATTTTTCAAAGTGTTTTGTTTATTCAAATTATAATTATTATATATTAATTAATATCTAGAATTATTTTATTTTTGAAAATAAAAAATCTTTTTGTTTTAAAATTATAATATTTATTTGTAGCAAAATCGATTTATATATTTAATAAGGATAATTTATTTATAATTAAGATATTTTTTAAATTATTATTAATAAAAATATTATTTTAAATAACGTAACTTATGGTGAACTGGGTCATATGGGGAAACGGATTACAAAATTCAATTTTCTCTATGTGATCTTGTTCTACGAGCTACATATTCATCCAATTCCAACTTTACATCGCTTGAATCATCCTCTAACTCTTCTTCAATATCCTTTTCTAATTCTTCAATTGGACATTTGTATAGCTGTCCTTATGATCTTTTCTTCTTAAATTTCTCCTTTGCTTTATATACAATTTTCAATACTTCCTTAATACTAAAGACGAATTAGTTTTGTAATTTGATCCTTTTGTCTTTAGTTCTTTTCTTTCGAATCTCGATTATTTTTTGAGTATCAACGAACTGTTTCTGAAGTAGAGTTATCTTAGTAATTTGAGAGTATAAACTTAATTATTCTTTTGGTATATCGATAAATTGATGATACAGAAGAATCATTATCTATTAGAGTTAAATTAAAGATTTGATTTGCTTGCCTTTGTTCTGTCTTATCTGGAGGAGAACTTTGGAGTATAGAAAAGTCTAGACCTTGATTGATTGAGTAATCTCTCTTCTGTATTGTAAGTAGAAAATTACTCAAAGAGAATTAAGAGTACGATGGTGTATCAGGACAATATTTCAT